GGCAGTGGCCACGGGACTTGCCTGAAGTCACACAGCTAGACTCAAACCTCACCTCTTCTGACTCCACAGCCTGGGGTTTAACACAATTCCTTAAACAACTCTTTTAGGACTATTCTGATTGGATTATGAATTGGACTTGAGATGATGGTACTTTGCTCCCCATATAAGGATTCCTTTCAGCAGGAAATAACTGAGCTGCAGGGATGAGTTGGTGAGTGGTGACGACAGCACTCTCAATGACACCCAGTGACGGGGGAATTGCTCTGTGCGTTTCCCTGGCTGTCATCTTCACAGGAGCAGAGCTCTAGCTTGTGCACGTGTAAGGGACAGAAGAAGTCAAGAAAGGGTGAAGGAGTCATGGGCTCTTCAAGTTAACAGGACCAAGAGCCGCATCTCCAGGCACGTGGGGAGGGAAGGGTGGTGACGGGGCCACGCCTCCAGGCCCCCAGGCAGGGGGAGGGAAGGGTGGTGCCCGGGGCACAGTCACAGGTGGCTTCCTGTGTCAGAGGCTGGAGAGGACGGCGGTGCTCACACTGGGGTCCACAGTCCAAGTTCACCAGGTCTCAGGGGCGCTATTTTGTCAGTTAAGGGAGCTCTGGCAGTGCAGTCTGTAGGGAGCTGCTGGGCTAAGCCAAAGACTGCTTCTCTGGTAGCTCAAGCCCAGCAGCTGCTCCTGAGGAAAGACGGGCAGCCTCTCCCCATACGCTTTACAGCTTCCGAAAACTCACTGGAGGGGAGGCTGTGAGTGGGCTCTCATTCCACAGCAAGGAGCTGAACGGGTCATTTTAATTTCTTTTTTTAAAGAAAATAAGCATGCCTTTATTTTCAACCCAAAGAGGTAAAACAGGCCTCTTTAGTTAATTGAATGTATAAATCACCTCCACTGCAGGTAGAAATTCAAGTTTGCTTTCTTCTTTTTAAAAAATAAATAAAACTTTGTTGTGACATCATTTTAATATTTTAAAACATTTTCTTATATAATTTGAAATAGTCTTTTTCCCCCAATAGTCTTCTGATAATCACTGTATGTAGCAGAATCTAAATCTCACTGAAGGAAAGTAATGAGAAAAATAAGATTTACTTAATAGAAACCTTAAAAATCTAACACACACTCATTAAGTGAGCAAATATCAGAAAATGGCAGAGTAAGCCCAGTCTTTCACAACACATTAAAAATATCCACTTAAAATTCCTATTTAACAAAGCAATCACATTTTCCATTTTGTGGCATAAAACTTGTTCTCGAATAGTTAAGTACTAGCTTAGGAGCTTCAAACTGAAAACAGCAACGCCCGAAGCTAAAATATTCCCACAGTAATCAGCTACACCGACACCTTGGAGCCTCGCCCGAAAAGCCTTCTACTCTGCTCGCTGGCAGAGAGTGAAGGAGACAAACAGAATTCCCCGGTGAGGGATCAAGGGAATCAAACCCCTCCATCTTGGATCGTGGAGAAATCTGAGGGATGGGACACAGTGATGGGTCTATTTCTGGAGAAAACCCTCTGTGTACTCACGCCTCTGTGCACACCTGTGTGCTCCAACCTGTGACACTCTTTGCTGTGATTTAAGACTTTGTGAAAGTTCTGAAAACACAATTGGAGGCCAAAATGGCCAGTCTTTTCCCTTTCCACTTGAGACCAGCGCCTATGCTCTGTTTTATTTATGAATAGTTGGAAGACAACTTTATAAACAGGACGTGAGGATTTTTGACATTTCAAAGATATACTGACTTGTTTGAAAGCTTAACTTTAAAAAATTTAACTAGTTCTAAATACTCAATGATTTTTGTACTGTTGAGCTGACAATGTCTCACTGCAACCCTCTGAATTAAATAAATGCTAAATGATTATCCTTTATTCCATAACTGTAGTATTGCAGGGACTGTCATGGACTGAACTGTGTCCTCCGAGAGATGTGTGTATGATGATACACTGTGATCACTACATATGACCCTATGATCTGATAAACCAAATAGCTGTCACGGGCTTGAGGGTGGTGTGTAGCCCTGATGAAGTGAGGGAAGTGTCCTGGAGCATGGCCAGCAGGACCTCTTCCCTTTCAGAAGGAGAGTAAGTGCAGAGGAGGGAGGCCTCACACCCCATGAAGGAGTTGCGGGGAATGGGGGGAGAGGGGCATAATTTCACTCAGATCCCTGCACTGGATGTTCCTTGGCACCAGGAAAGACCAGGACACTTAAAACCACTAAGGACCACTGGGCCTACAGATGCTGAGGGAAGCAAGGGCCTGCCGCCAGGGCTGACAGAGGGGACCTGCCTCCAGGGCTGACAGAGGGGGCCTACCCCTGCAGCGAGCACCGGCACTTGGACGGCCAGCCTCCCAAACTGTAAGAGAATCAAATTCTGTTAAAACTACTCACTTGTAGCATCTTTCTTACAGCGGCTCAGAGAACTACACAGTGACTATAATGTGGATAATCTGAGAGAGTTCTCTCACGACAAGAGGCAATGGAGAATCTAGAAAGCTTTTCCTTCACTTATCAGTCAGGGCTGTACCTTCAGATGGAGTCTCTTTAGGCCACGAGAACACCCATCTGCCTTTTGATGCCGCAGCTTCACAGGTGGCCTGTCCGGCAAACACACTGGGCTTTTTATAATTCTTAGAGACAGGGCCACAGGAGCAGAGAAATAGTGAGTAAACTAATTGACAGATCAATTTAATAAAAAGTAATCACTTCACAGTATTATGAAAAAAGTGAGGTCACTTCTTTAAATTGAGAGCGACCTACTTTTGAGAGAGGCTGAAGTTAAAAACAGTCACTATTTTAGAGAGAATATATTTTACCTGTCAATCTGTTATTTAAAATGGTTCCATCAATACTGTTAGATGTGAAAAGAAAAACACCACACCCCGAAGCATGTGATTCAATCATCTACATTAAAAAGACGAAGAGCGATTCCTCATCAGTGACTATTGTGAAACCCATTTTCTAAAAAGGCTGCCTCATTAGTAAAGCAACCAACTTGAGTGACAGCCCACAAGGGCTCCTGTCCAGCTGCCTTCTCAGAGGCTCCTGTACACGCGCTCAGGCAGATGATGCTTTTCACTGGACAAATACACCCTGAACCAGCATGAACAGCCCCCCCAACAAGGAAGGGCACTGGCAGGCCAGCAGCTGGAACCGTCTGCATGTCTCTTGGTTCTGCACACGTGACCTGCAATGTTTTCCTGCCCTCTGGTCAGGGCAGGGTCTGGGCATGGAAGCGGGGAGGCTGCTGAGGCTCAGGGTCAGTGGGGGCCTTGGGGAGATCTGAGCCTGTCGGAAGCTCACAATGCCTGTTGGGAAAGAGACTAGGCAGCAGGAATGAGGGGCCAGGATGGTGGGCTGGGGCGGGGTGTGTGGAGCAGGGAGAGCAGAAGCATGAGGGGAGGGGAGGGAGGACGGGCAGGCGACAAGGGGACGATGGGGACAGCTCTCGCAGACCTGAGTGCTCCAAAGGACAAAGCCACTTGGTACAAACTGTGGGAGCCCAGGTTTGAGTAAAGAGAACTCCTTCCAACAGTCAGGGTCATGGGGGAATTCAGAAAATATGCAAGTGCCCTGAGGGCCTGCCTGCTACCATGCTCCTGGCTTACTAGGCCGGAGAACCGCTTCCGCAAGCCTCCAGTCACCTTCCAAGAGACGGCTCCACCACGCTGTGTCTTAAGACGACCAAGGAAGGGGGCGGAGGACCCCAGTGAGATGTGATCTCTTCTTCTCAAGGAGATGCTGGTGGTGCAGCGTTTTATGTGGCACTACACGGTCAGCGGTTTGAATGCCCCAGCTGCTCCAAGGGAGAAAGCCAGCCTCGGGATGATGGAGTGGGGCTGAGTCAGGACTCATCGGAGAGCGGCCGGGTTTACACTCAAGGACGTAAATGGGCACTAAAGTCTTTCTCATGTCGTTCTTGTCTAGTGGTAAGGAGCTGCACTGTCAACCCAAAGGCTCCTGGTTCGAATCCTCTAGCTGCTCCAGAGGAGACAGATGGCAATCTCCTCCTGCGTCATTTACTGCCTCTGACTTCAGGAGGAGGACACTGTGCAGACAGCCTATCTGTTGGCTATATGACCTCGTCACTGATGCAGTAACCTGAGTGTGGGTGACGGGCTGGCCCTGCTCGGCTCTCATGTCTCCCTCACATCAGTCTCAGTGACAACAGGCCGACCGCCACACCGCAGCACACACGGCAGTTTGCTCACCATTCTCTCAACCTGACGGCCGAGGCTGGGCCCCTGGAGGGTCGCGGGGTGAACTGCCACAATAGCCAGCTTTTGAAAATCCATCACCTGACTAGTTCAAACCAGTTACGTCAACCCCCAGAGTCCTCAGAACACGCTCTGAGGCTTTTGTGTTGTTGCGTGTGGGAAAATGCTTTTGCAAGAAAATTCTGTGCTTAAACATACAAGACATCTTTAATCCATATAGAAACATATCTAAGAGGGACTCCAATTTAGAACATTCTCCCACAAAAACCCCAAGGTGAGTGCTCTAAGCATGTCAAACACGCCACACTCAGGGCCTAACTTGGTCATCAGTGACCAGGTTATTTATAAAAAGCGATTTGGTCTGTTGCTTTCAGGTCGAAAAGGACCCTCAAATTCTCTAGACTGTAGTATAAAGAATAATTACAGAAGAACAGTAACACTCAACAGGCTGGTAGGGCCTCGGGCGCCGATTTCACCTCGGCCATCTTCTGCACATCCCACCGGGAGTGAGTCCGGGGCAGGGACCCAAGGTGCACGAGAGAAGTGGGGCTGAGGCGTCGCTATTCCACGCATCACAAACACTGCAGGCAGCAGTCACCCCTCAGGACGCGGCAGTACCCCACCCGCTGTGTTGGCGCACTTTATAAACACTGGTGTGCTGGGATGCCAATGCCAATGGGACTCAGATTAGGGAAAAATATCCTGGCCTAAGCTGTCTTGTGTTGGTCGGTGCCCTGGCCCACACTGGCCTCCAGGCTTTGGCCGCCCTGCCGCCCCTCCCTCAGCCAGCACTGGCCTCAGTGGCCGCCAAACGCACCGTAGCCCCCAGCCTGGATGGGCGTCTTGGGAGAAGCACAGGCGTACAGACTGAAGTCCTCCGTCTGGAAGCCGGCCCGGTTCAGGGAGGGCTCGGATGCACTGCGGTGAATTTTTGGCAATGAGCGGGCCAGCAGCTCAATGGAGGCAAGAATCTAGAGAGACAGACAAGCAAAGATGAAAATCTGGGTGGAATGACTTTCAGAGCCCCACACAACGGCAGTAGAGCCCCTTGCACGCCCCCGCCCCCCAATCATTTTCTGTTCTTGGCCAAGTCCTGCCGCTCAGGGAGAGCTCTGGTGGCCTCGTCCGGAGGCAGGAGAGCTCGGCTAACCCAAAGGCTGTGGGCTGCTCTGTGGGAGAAAGGCACTCTTCTCCTGTAACTATTGTTAGATGCTATGGATTTGACCATGACTCATACAACCCTACGAACAATGAATGTGAACCCTGTCCTAAACTGTGCCGTCTTCATTTCTGAGCTACTCAAGCCCACTGCTGCAGTCCTGTGTCGAGCCGTTTGTGGAGGGGCTTCCTCTCTTTTGAATGACCCTCGACCTTAGCAAGGACAATGAATTTCTCCAAGGCCTCTAAGAAAATGCTCAAAGGCTGGGAGACCAAGTTTTACCGTGCCCACTTCTCAGGAGCACCCTGGTTGTATTTTCTCCACGACACAGACTTGTCTTTTTTCAGCAGCTCATGGAATAGTCAGCACTCTTCATGACACCGCAACGCAAAGGCTTCGATTCTCTCATCCTTATTCACTAACTTTCAGATGCAAGGACGACACACTGGACCAGGTGGACCTTAGTCTTTAAACGGACACTGGTGCTCCTTAGCATCTTGAGATCCTTGACGGCATATTTGCTTCCAGTGCAGTATGTCATTTCTTTTATTTCTTGAGTATTGGTATCAATGGTGTTGACTGTGGATCTAAGCAAGATGAAATCACCGACAACTTCAATTTTTTCTCAATCTATTATGGTGCTGTCTATTGGCTCAGTGGGGAGGATTTCTTTCTTTCTTTTGGGAACATACTTTTTTAAAAAAAATTGAAAATTGTTTTATATTACTCTGATTTATTTACAAAGTTAGAATACATTGCTTTTTGTTTTTCACAAAAGATCCTTTCCCATTTTCTTCACCCCACCTACCCATCGAACTGTGCAACCCTATGTTAACACCCTACCGCCCATCCTCACCCGATTTTTATTTTCTTGATGTTGAGATGTAATTCATGTTGACCTTCTAAAGCAAGCGTTTCACATCTTCTTCACTTTCAGCAAGCAAGGCTGTGTCATCTGCACAAATGCAGGTTGCTGATGAGTCTTCCTTCAATCTTGATACCAATTCTTTTTCATAAAGTCCAGTTTCTTGAATGATTTGCTCAACACATAGATTAAATGGACACGGAGAAAGGATATGTCCCTGACACCCGTCTTAATGTCAAACCATGCAGTGTTCCCTTGCTCTGTTCAAACAATGGCTTCTTGATTGAGGTGTAGGTTTAGCTTAAGCACAATGAAATGAGTGGGATTCCCATTTTTTCAATGTTAGCCATAATTTGTTAAGATCCACAAAGTCAAATGCCTTTGCATGGTCACTAAAGTACAAATAGATGGGAATTTCACTAGCAGTGAAAAAAGCAGCGTGTGCCCTTTGTGCCCCACTCAGAGCGGAGTCTTCAGGAGAACAGCAGCAGCCACAGCCACAGCAGAGAACCAGAGGCCGGAAGTGAGGCAGAGCTGACCTGGGCCCGCTTCTCTGTGGACTCGGAGCCAGAGGCCTTCCTCCACACTTGGAGGACTGGGTTGGGGTGGGGGACATGTAGTGAGGGGAGACGCCTTAACTGGTAGGATGAAGAGAGCCCTGTAGCTTGCCTAAAACCACCAAGCTGAAGAGTCTAGGAGCATACTTCAGAAGCTACTGTACCCTGCTGCTAACCTGAATTGTCACTTACCTAAAAAATGCTGTTTGGTGCAGTGGGTCTATTGCTCCAAGCCTGGTTTCCCTAGACCACTGTTTTTCATTTGATCCAAGCTGCCTCAACTCTGCCTTCCCTGCAAACACCCTGGTCCACCTACAGCATCAAGAGCTGCAGGAACCATCTCTACCTCATGCAAACACAGCTTGTTAGTCTACCCACAAGGGGACTAGCTAGTCTTGCCATTAAATTGAGAGGATCCTATTGCAGAAGGTGGGAATCTTAGCTCCAGGAGAACAAACAGCAGAGAATGCAGGGCACGTCTGCCAGGAAGAGTATCTTGCTGTTAAAGAGAAGCTAACCGAACAGCTCTTCAGACCGAAGCCTTGACCTTCCTGCCGGCACAGTGTGCCAGATGGCACTGGCTCACAGCTGATCATGCAGGGTTTTCAGAGGCTTCAGGTCACACAGGAGGAGACCGCCCATCCTTCTCCCATGAGACAGCTGGTGGAGCTGAACCATGTACCTCTGAGTACCCCTAAGTTGGCTGTGTAAAGCTGGTTAGGGACTGTATTTGAGCAGCTCTTTGAACTAAGGGATTGTGTTGTGTTGTTAACCCAAATTATACCCTGTTAGGGATTGTATTTAAGCAGCTCTCTGGACTGAGAGATTGTATTTTACTGTTAATTGAGAAGCTCTCTGGATTTGAAAGACTGTATCTCACTGGTAACTGAAGTCTAGCTTGTCAGATGCTTAGAAGACTGTTCAAATCATGGATTAGGGCTTCTAGAGTTCTTCCAAGCTTTTCTCTGATGAAATTTATAGTCCTTAGTTTTACTCCTTGAAAAGAGATCTTGTCATAAAAATTTAAAAATAACACTTGGATAAGGTCATCTTCAGTAAACAGGAAAATCTGTACACACATTTTCTTTTCCTGATGTCATACAACAAATGCCATGTTGCTTCTATTTTGAGAAATGCACACCCTGACTTTTAAACCTCTACTTAACAATCAATCCTGAGGACATAATTTGCATTATGGATGCTTACCAGCCATGCCAGTGGAGAAATGGGGGGAGACAACGGGTCCTGAGACCTGGCTCACCTTTAACTGACCAGAGGCCTTTGGGCTGTGTATAAATACAACTCTTTCTTCTAGAAATCCCAGTGTGTAAACCTGTAGGTGTCCACTCAGCCTCTTTGGCCTGTGTGTGAGGTCACTCCTGCCGGAGCTGGGAACCCTTTGAAGACTGAATTACTCTGTGGTGATAGCACACGCTTTTAGGAAGGGAAGGCATGCTGAAATCAAGGGGGAACCTTTTATCCAGATAACGGAGGATCCACTGATGTGGGGTGGGGCATGTGTCTCAGGTGGACTTGGGTGGCAGGGCTGGTGGACAAGGTCTGTCTCTCCAGGACCCTGCCAGGTGGCAGCACATGTGACAACTTTCCCCTCCTGGGATCTCACGGCTGAGCCTCTTCTGGGTTTCCAAGGGAGGAGATGGCCTTTCTTTGTCCTGAAGATCTGGGAGGCCAGAGTGTCATGGCCTTTGGATTAGCAGTGCAGCGCCCAAGGGACAGGCCACCAGGGTAGCTGAGTTACTGTAACCTGGAAAGCAGTTTCTCAAGAAAGTTCACAGACTGAAAATGCTGATCGGTGACGTGTGCCCCACAAATCACAAAAGAATTACAATCAGGGGCTCACAGGCTCCAATCTCTTTACTCATCTAAACGGAACCCAAGGCTTGCCCGTGCCAGCAAGGACCAGGCACTCAGACAGTATGCCCACGTGAGAGCAGAACAGGCCTCTGGTGTGAGTGTCGTGCCCACAGGGCCTTTCCCACACCCCAACACTGCCACCTGTCACAGCAGCAACCAGAGCCAAGCACGCCACTCCAGCTCTCTGTGACACCCATGAAGAGAAGATGATCAACTTCCGGTTTTAGAAGAGAACAAGCAGCGGCAAGTCAGCACGAAGGGTGAGGGCAGACAGTGCTGGCTGTTCTCATCATCCCGGGTACAAACGCCCCTCACACACACCTCCTGCTTGGAGGGACTCATGGGACTGACAAAGGAAGCGGTGTCCTGGACACCTTCATGAGCCAAACGGCCAGTCACGTCCATAATGTTCCTGAGGGCTGGCCTACTTTTCCAACTCGGCCACCTTACAAGATTTAAGAGGAATTACTGGAGGGTAAGTGAGAGAAGAAGTCCCAACATGAGGACGTGAAGGCTCACATGTCCAGCTTTCCACTAAGCTGGGCAGAATGCAAAGCACCACCACTCTTATGACTTATTTTTCTGCTTTTGTAAAAACAATTTTCATAAAAATATACTTTTTGAGATATTATGGGTTTCTTGTTTAAGTAGACACAGAAATATTTTTAAAACTCTTGCGTTTTGTGAGACTGGGCATGTCATCAGGAGGGGCGATGCCCTGGAGAAGAGTATCCTGCTTGGAAAGGTAGTGTCAGTGAAGAGGGGGAGATCTCCAGTGGGTAAACTGGAGTGGTGATGGCAATGATGGGCTGAAGCACCAGGAAGACTGTGGATGGGGCAGGACCAGGCCGGTTCTGTCCTCTTGGACTTGGGGTTTATAAGTCAGAGCCAACACCACCCAACAGTGACACCACCAATGTGGTCATTCATGTGGTCACTCTCTGGGTTCTTCTGGGGCCAGTGAGTCGGAGAATTGCAGGAGGGAGGCGGAGCTTTCCCCAGGGGTTTGCGTGAGCCGCTTACCTGCAAGCCGCCCCTGGCAGGTGCACTCCCATCTGCACAGGCCTTCCTTACCTGAGGGAAGAGTGGCCTCTCATCTCGCTTCTTCTTCAGACACTCTGCCATTAGTCTCTTCATGGCTTTGGGGCAGTTACTCCGGACCTTGCTGAGATCTGGAGACAGGTATCCTCGCCCCACCATAAAAATGATCTGGGGAGGAAAAAAAAAGGTATGAGACACTAACGGGAGAAAGTGGGGGGACACACAGCACGTGGGGGCCTGGTGCTGGCTCTCCTCTGCAGGGTGAGGCTCACACAGCAGGCACTGGCTGAGACAAGGGAGGGCCCTCTAGGAGTAAGCTGTGAGCTGAGAGTGAGGAGCTCAAGACCCAGGCTCTATGCAACGGGTCACACGGGCCTGTGCAAGCTGTGGGCTGCCAATTCTTCATGTTCAGCAAGATTAACTGTCCAGAGACAAGGCATTAAAATACATCTTAGCAACAAGTTACTGAGAAATTTCTGGCCTCTTACTGTAATGAGTTAAATACCTGATTGACACAGAAAGGCCTAGTCCTAGGAGATGAGGACTGAGCCCCTGGAACTCCTGCCTGGTAAGAATGGCGGGGTTTGGGCCTACCAGGCTGTCTAATCTCACGTGATTTACAGTGGAGGATCTGGTCACTGCAGCAGCTCACCCTCTGTGGGCTGGGGACAAAGGCCTGCCACGTGCTCACCAGTCACATTTATGAACCAAGTCCAATAACACCAGGAGAATATCACTGGATGGTGCAGACGGTTGGTTACGTGCTTGATCACTGGCCAAAGGGCTGGTGGTCTGTGAGGCCCCCCAGAGGACCTCAGAAGACGGGCTTGGTGACTTCCTTCCGAAAGGCCAGGGCCATGAAGTTTAAAGGAAAGCACCTTTCACCATGTTTTTTAAGGAGACTTAAAAAATGTGGGGGTTTTTTTGCCTGCCACTTGTTTTCTATTGATGAACTTATTTTTCCTGTCAATTACATATGTAATTGTAACTTATGCACCATTCAGAATGCAAAAAATGGCCAGTCAACCAGTTCCGGGTCACTGGGTGGTGCCGTATGTAACTGCTCCTTCCTTCTCTAGTATCACAGCCGTGAAGGTCTCAGGGAAAAACCTAGTTAGTGACCGCCAAAGGCCACAAGGCAAATGACCGATGCACCCCCACCTCCCACCCCTGACACAGCCCACTGAGAAGTCACCCTTTACACAGAGAAACAACTGCTCCATCAGGTTGGGAAGTTATGATGAAACACAGGAAAGATAGGCTTTCTGGGGGGTGGGGTGGGGGAGTTCTCTGGCACTGTAACACTTCTCGGAATCCCCTGGGAAATGGATTTCCCAGGCGGTGCCTGGCCCGGCCCGAGACAGCCGCTGCAGTGAGGAGGCCAGCTTTCCCTCCGCTCAGCTGCACTCGACTAAGAGCAGCAGCTCCTGCACTTTCTCAATGCCACAAACCACTGCAGCAGCACAGTTCACTGTGGAGGAAATTCCCTGTTCTCAGCCAACGATCTATGTGTACATGAACGAAATGGGGCTGGGATAGAGAGGACAAGAATGTCATGAGGGTATGCTGGTACCTTCTGGAAGCTAAAGGGTGAGAAACGGAAACTCAGGAAAAAGTAGTAAAAACTATCCTCCCACTAGAATTTTCACTATTGAAAAACTAAAGCACGATGTGTAATCCTGTTCACTGATGCAGTCAAAGGAGAGGGAGTGTGTGGGGCGATCTGGTGGCGGTGAGAGCGTGTGTCTGCTGGGCGCGTGGCCTTGCAGCGCCTGCTCCAGGCGTGGGGCCCGGCTCTGCAGGGCCTACTGCTAACCCGTCCTGGCCAGGAAGCTGCACTCACCTTATCTACTGGTGGGAAACCAGAATTCTACCACAGCTGCAGTATTTACAGCCGCACTGGCAGCGTGGTGCAGTAAGCACTGGGTGCTGACCAAAAGGTCGGTGCTGGAATCCACCAGCAGCTTTGCAGGAGAAAAGTGGGTGGTTTCCTCTTGTGCACAGTGACATTCAGAAACGTGAAGGCAGAACCCACGCAGTGGCAGTGGTTGGCGCGTCTTATACGTAACTCTGTCACCGTTCAGAGAGGCTATTAGGACCTCCGACTGCGGAGAAGAGGGTTCTAAAACCGGTCATGAAGATCTCAAGATCTGGTCTCATGCTGACTCAGGTCTGGCCCTTCTCTTCTACAACTAAGGGGCATTGTATAAACAGGAAAACCAACTCTGAGGGGATGTGTGTTTACCTGGTCCCTATTGTTGATGTTTGAGTAAGGTAACTGTCCCGTCATCAGTTCATAGAGAACCACACCAAACGCGTACACGTCTGACTGAAAGCTATAGGGGTTCTTATCTTGCATACGGATTACTTCTGGGGCCTGTTAGGACATAAAAAAGAAAAATAGCCTAGATCACTATTCATTTCAACTGCATGAAGACTGAACATCAGACAATTCCCAGAGAAATACACTGGTCATGAAACAGAATCCATGCCCTGTTCAAAGAAGCAAAACAGATTAATCCATTCAGGAAAAAGCAGCCCTATACCACAAACCCTGCCGGGGGCAGCACCAGCGAGGACTCTGTCCATGCAGATGCACACAGACTCATTCGCTGAGTTCATCCCCATCTGTTTCCGGCTCTTCGTGGAGCAGCCTGCCCGCAGCAACGCTGGCACCCCAGGCACCTGATGTGGCAGGGCAAACTCAGGCCCCTCGCTGTCTCCTGTAGTGTTGCAGACAGGCCCTGGGTGTCAGTGGACGAGAGCAGCAGGCTGTGTGGAGGAACACACTCGTGGGCACAGACTGGCCCAGCTGAGTTTGCTCTATGTTCTCGGGCTTCAGTGGCGAGGGACCACATCGAGCAGGAGAAAAGGCAGGCTGAGCGCTAGCTCACAGGACTTCCTCTCCTATCTTGCAGCTTCCCTCTCGCCTCATTTGGAAGGAACTGGATAAACAGAATTGGATAATACATCAAACTGATAGCAAAGGGAGGACTAATTCTGAGAAGAAAAAACAATACAAATCTCAAAGCTGACAGATCTAAGAGATTCCTGGGTCCCGGCGAGGCTGGACTGTGTACCAGGTCGAGGTGGGCACCAGTGTTGCCACACGGCTGCTAAGTGAGTGGAACTGCCTGTCACATCACTATTTCGGGGTGAGCCTGGGCAGTCCTTCCAGCTTTCCAAATGACTTGTGTGCTTTCAAAGCTGAGCGCATGCCGTGGGCAGTGCTGCACTTGCTTTAACACAATCAGATGAAGACAGGAAGCAGACATTCCAGCACACTGAGGCTGCTACCACGCAGGCACAATCCTCAAAGCTGGGACTGAGTGATGTGCCCTTTGCTTTTTCTTTTTTTTAATATGCTATTTTAACAACTTTATTTTCAAAATCTGGTTTTACTTCACTCTTGGTGGAAAGTGGCTTGAGGCGAGGTTTTGTGCCACCCAGTCACAAGAATGTTTGCTGACCCTCAACTAAGTGATTGACTTTGTAAAACTGCCACAGTACTCTCTCCCTCTGAGACATGAAGGAAGTGGCCCTGCAGAGCTGTTGTAAAGACTTCAGGGGGCGACACAGCTTTAGATGGGACCCCTCTTGCAGTGAGTCGTGCTCGTTTCTGTAACCACCCTTGACCTGGAAGCATTTTTCCAATCCTGAAGGGCTCCACCGACTACTTTCCTGTTTTTTTTTTTGTTTGTTTTTTGTTTTTGTTTCTTTTTTTATGTGTGTACCGTCAAATTGGATCTGACTGGTACAGGAGGTGATTGTTTCTCCTTCTTCAGCAGAGCATCTGGTGGATTTGAACCGTGCACTTCTGGGATTGCAATGCAGTTTCCTGTCACTAGGCCACCAGAGCTCGCCTACTTTCCTGTCTTGAGGCTCAATGTGGTGGAAGGAAGAGCCCATCACCAAGGTAACAACAAACAGGGGAATGCTGGATAACAGGCTGCTGTTAGTGAAGCTTTCGTAGGAAGAAAAGGCAGATCCTGACTGAGCAGAACTTTCCCACATTAGAGACAAACATGCCCTGAAAACAGGACCATCATTTCTCTGTCATCTTAGCTTCTCAATAGTTAGTCTACTTCCTTCCTTTCTTGGGACGCATGGCCATCTTTCTGACAGGCATGGCCTAATCAGAGTCAGGGATCCACATGATAATGGGGTCACTAACCTCCCCATGAGGCTTCTGCTGCAAATCGTTTGCGCTGTTCTGAGTTGTAAACCCGTTGGGAGCCTCATCCCAGACTGCATGGTTCACACACAGGACAAGGGCGAGCCTGCTTGCACTGTCTGTACTGGTTTGCCCTCAGCCCCGGATCGTGAGCTGGACTGTCTTGGTTCACTCTCTTTCTTGTCCTCAGGTTGGCTGCGGAGCTCAGGCGGCAGCTACTGCAAGTGTCATTTTGCGAAGATGCCAGATAAAAATCCCCTGTATTTTGTGTGGAGCAGCTCACTGAGAACTTTCTGGACTTAGAACTTTTCCCCACTTTTAACAATTACTTGAAAGCTTTCAGCTGATGTGAGTTTTATCGTGGATCTCCATCACATTAAAACTTAATTGGGAATCTGACAAAATATTTATTCATTTAAATAAATGAGTGACACACTCGTTTCTTCTAGTGTGTAAGGAGTTCTGCCAACCCAAAGGTAGGTGATTCCAATCCACCAAGCACTCCGAGAGAGAAAGATGACGGGCCATCTCCTGTTACACCTTCACAGCTTCAGTTCCGTCTCAAGTGCACGTACCACACCACACTGTTATGGTAACACAAAGCAACCACTATTATTTTAAAAAGGAAAAGAATAGTTTTCAAAACCAAACCAGATTAGTGGGGGAAGAAACCCTGACCTGCCGGACGGCTGGTTATGCTGGCCCCATTCCCTGCTGATACTGGTCTGGTTCAGGACTGGAGGCCTTTTGAAAGGAGCACAGGGTGAGCTGCTGGCCCGGGGCCCGACAGCTGCGTGCCCACAGCCCTGGACTCACGCACTCCCCTCCTCCCAGGACTCTGCTCGCTTCTTTCAGCCCAGCAGATAGCTGGGCTCCACAGACTGCAGTTCAAATCCACCTCACTCTCCCAACTTCTCCCTAACTGGACTCCTAGGTGAAGGAGGTAACTTTCGGATGGAGATGTAAGAAGACTGCGCAGTCTCTCCCCCAGGCGTTACTCCTGGAGCAAAACCTTACGAACCTGAGGCCACGCCAGCCACACCTGGTTAACTTAAACAGGGTGCACTGAACCTTCTGAACACACAGTAACTTATGCAGTTCTAATAATACGAAAATAAATTTTACAGAAAACATTTTTTTGCTTAAAAATATTTAAGTTGGTTTTATAACCTTTTTTAAAGATAAGAGAAAACCATTAATTCCATCCACATATTCAACCAGATGGCATCGATATTTGTAAGCACGGGGTTCTATGAACACACCTGTATTTCTGGAAAGGTCAATGATTTTTCAATAACTCGAGCAGCACCTCAGGGTCCAGACTCGAGTCAGTGGAGAAAGCCGCCCAACTCTTACCATCCACAAGATGGATCCAGACAACTGCTCGAACTGGTGGGACCCACTCCAGCGTGACTTCACTGTGGCGAGGCCGAAGTCACCTATTTTGACTGTGAGGTCTTCATGGAGAAATATATCTGAAGTGCAGCAAGTGAAGGAGAGGAACGGATTTCACTTCTTAACAGAGCGAGCAAAAGGCAAACCTCAGGTCAAATAACCCACGGTGGGATTCTGAAACAGGATAGTCTTTAAAAGGGACAGGACCTTGTGTTTCTTAAAGATAGAGAACACATGCTTTTAAAAAACAGGTTCTATATCATGGGAGTGACTGGCTTGGCATGTGCTGGGAGGGGATAAGGCTGGGGTGCTGGTCGTTCCTACTGGTCGCGAAGCTTGCAGGCCTGACTGTCTCTTGTCTCTGATCGTGCTCAGCCTGGGCTGGCTTCGGCACCGCTCAGAGCGGAAATTGACCCAGGTTGTAAGAAAGGCTTTGGTCTGGGCGTTGGGAGGAATTCCACCCTTCTTCACCTCATGTGTTCTGCAATCCACCAGGGCCAGAGCTCGAGAGGTGGAAGGGACAAGCAGACCAGACAGGGTTAGTCCTTTAGGACCTAATTTAGCAACCAGAGACTCTGGACACGTCTTGTAGGGCTCTACAGTCTGTGCAGTTTAACATGTCCAGAGTCCCCGAGCACTCTGTGCAAACCCCTCCCTGTGTCCTCTTTACAGCACGTCCAGCTCGGCACGATGGCTGATCCTAGAACTCAGAGACTCATCTCCGGAAGGATACTATTACTCTTGAGATCTCTGTGGATGATGGACTTGGCGTGTAAATAACTGAAAGACAAAACATGGTTAGCCTGAGTGAGACCAGAGCCACAGAGCACATGGAGGAGCAGGAAGGCTGCCAGAGAAAAGGATACAATCCTGAGCAGTAGGGAAGCATTTATAACGCAGTGACATACGGGTCATATGGGTATGAGAAGCGACCACACCTGAGTTTCTGCTGTAGGAACACGTTACTGCAGTGATAAAAGGAGCAATGTTGGCGTGGCTGAGTCTGACTTCATCAAGATCACTTTATGAATCACTTCATGAAGGTGACCAGTCTCCATCAACAATATTCACAGAACCAAAACAGCTACAAGGTCAGACATGCCACCTCTCAGGTTCCTGCATCTATTCTACCAGTCACTTTGGTCCAATACTGTGCCCAACAGTCACTGCAAGACTCACGGGCTTGACTCACGCGTGTGGGTTAATTAGGGAAATAGGCTGGAGAGTGGGGGAGTCAAAGAATATCACACAATGCAAATGCAAGTTTAGTTCAGTAGTTCCAAGCCAGATTAACAGCAAAATACAATTCCTAGACGGTGAAAGTCTAGGCTCAGCTCAGTAGCACAAATGCAGGAAGCCTCTGGTTTCCTTAATCATCCAGTACATTTGATCTCAGCTTTTCCTTCAATCTTTCAGCAAGCAAAACCTTCACCTGTGGCCTTTATCTCCAATGTTTCTCTTAAAAGTAGTGCTACCATCAGTCTTTTCATAATCTCTCCTCCACCATCACATCATTGTCTCTGTATGGAACACACTCTCTCTTATATTGGCCCCACAGCTGTTGGTGATTTGCAAAACCAGGTGTTTGCAGTCAGTTAAGGGGGTTCAAGACAACCAGGAGCTAATGCATTGGCTAGAAAAGCCAACTTTTAAAGTTCTAACACCGCAACAGTCAAAATCTTGTTTTCTAATCAATAAACTTTGCTTGATCATCTATGGTTTACCAATATAAACCTTTACATGCACCTTGATCTCATCTCACTTCCATGTTCAATGCTTGCCTCCTGCCCCCAAAGTCTACTTTCCATCCAGTGTTCCCCTACCCACAAGGTCCTCTGAGACCCTAGGAAGATGCCTACTCCTGGAGGCCAGCAGGGAGGGACCTTTCCCTCTTTCACCATTGGGGAGTGGGAGGCATTAATTTCCCCTTGACTTCCATGCCCACATTGACCTTACAACAGAAAGGCTGGCACAGGGCCGGCAGCATCTCCTTCTGGACATATGGCTGGGTTGAGCCAAACTAGCCAACAACATGTCCATGTCCCATCGCCACTAGAGGAGGGAAGCTGGATGGATAAATCAAAACCAGACTTCAGGATGGGGACATTCACCAGTAAAACACCTCTTTAGCACTGCTTCTGGAACGGGTAACGGTGAGAGCTAGAGGTAAAGAGAAGATGAAAGTTCACGGAATCCTTCCTGACCACTTTCATGAATTCACTGAGGGAGGGGCTTGTGGCATGTTTCTCCCCAGGGCCTAGGACAGGGAGGGCCTGGTCCGTGGGAAGGACTCATAGGCACTTACCGAAGCACTGAGGATGGACGCACATAAAGCTTTGGACAAGCTCCTCTCTCTCATATAGTACTGGAGAGAAGGGGCAGACACAGGGCTTCTGAGTTTGACAATGACCAATAAAAAACAAGTTTGTCTTAAAAGCGAATTTAAAATCTAAATGGTATGATTAAAGATTTACAGGTCATTTCAGCTCATTTATAATTTCTGATTTTCATATCTGAACTTTCTTATTCTCCCAGAGATTAAGATTCTGAAACTATTTTCCAGATTAAATTTTCATCTGAAGAAGCAGCTTATCCAAAGTAGTCTCTCCTCTCTCCACTACTCTCTTGCCCTTTGCCGCAGGTTTTTCAGCTGACATGATCTTGTCTGAATCGGGCTGTGCTCTGTGACACACCACACATCCATCATCTACGGAAAGAGAAGGTGGTCGGCTGTGACAGGGGCTGGTGGTGACAAGGAAACACATCTCACACACAGGCCTGTGGTCTCAGTCAAAAGTCTTTTAAACATGGGGAGACTTGTCTCCACTCAAAAGGAATGGGGTCAGCAATGATGGTGTTGGTGGCAAAGCTGGGCCCTGTCAAGAGCCATCAGATCCAGTACACAGCAAAGAGCCACCACCTGAAGGTCAGGACCATCCTGACTGTCCTTCCTCTGAGATTAAAGACATAAGTAAGCAGTCAAAATGCAAACACAGAGGGAAAAAATGCAAAGAAGGGAAGACAAAGTCGTTCTTGGTGATGTGAAGAATCAAAGCAAGATCAGAAGTGTAACTCGGTGGCTGAGTAGGGAGAACTCGTGCCTCAGCACGTACAGATAATGAACAGGGCAGATTCATGGTTGATGAACTAGGGATACAACCACACAGGGAGCTGGAGAGCATAAACCTGTGATGGGCCAAAGCTAGAGATAGCTGCAACTCAAAATCACAAATTCATATACTTTCAATGTTTATGTACTTGTCCATTTTTTTTCCTTTCACTTAATTATCATTCTATAACATTTCAGCAGTGAAAGCATCAGAGTAGAAGCAGCCCAGCTCTGTGTAATGAAAGGTTGAAGGAAAGAGAGTGAGCAGCATACTCCAAACCTTACTTAAGTTACCGTACCTAAGTTTCCGAGTAGAATCCAACACTCTTCAAATCAAAGCTCAATATGATGACTGAAGTAAATAAACGGTTCTCAATGTGACTCATTAAACAAACTGGAAAGGTGAGGCTCTCGTCCTCATCACCTCATCACTGTTGCAGACATTGCAGTTTTATTAAATTGGCCATTACTGTGATAACTGTGACACCTGGTGATGTCAAGGGCTTAGGTTTCAAAATGACTTTCCTAGCCACTGTCTTTGACCCTAGCCACTGACTTCGACGTATGGATGGGCTGGGTCACAGAAATTGGGTGTGTCAGTCTTGCCATCCCACTTGGTTTATATTAAGCAGAAACCAGGACTCTCAATACCAGCAAGAAAGAGCAAGCACTGTGTGGCCTTCAAGGCCAGAGATTCCTGTACCAGTGAGATCCTACACAAGAATAACAGCCCCAGCAGAGAACCAGAGACCAACACGCCACGGAGCTGTCTTAGGACTGCTGTCCCACGGAGCCAAGCTTGTTGGAGGGTGGAGGGAAGACGCCTTCCTGGTAGGACTAAGGGAACTTTGTGATACTGACCTAAGCCATGAGGCTGAAGGCAAAAGGGTAGCGGCCACACATGAGAAGTTGTCTGGACTGAGCAACTGTATCCTGCTGCCGCCCTGAATCAGATGCCCTAATAACCACATAAGCATACATATGGTTTTCTAAAGTCACTGCGGTCACTGCAACAAATTTTGGACCCAATAGAGCAGAAAGACTGGTGCTGGAATCAATCAGTAGAAAGAGGTAGGTGGTGCTGGAATCAGTAGAAGGAGGTAGGTGCAGGACCATGAGAATTCTTTTAGGAATTAATTTTGTATTGTGATGTTGTTGATGGGACAACTCCCCTTTGTGGAGGTGAGAGAAGCAGGACAAGGGAATCCCAAGCTGCCTACACTTAGTCTTTATCTCTACTACTTCCATTTTACTCAGTGGCAACTCTTTTTTTAATTTTTTAATTAATTTCAATGAAAATTTACAGAGACTTTGGATTTCCACTCATTCATTGTTGCACTTTTCTCCCCTCCCAACCCTCCCCCCTAGTACACTACCCTCTTGGAAAAGTAAAAGAAAAATTCTTTCATTGTTTTACAATCCCTCCCCCCAGGTCCACTCCACTATACAACCTTTGTTCTGGACTCCTGTCATGACAAAAAATATCTAAAAATTTTCCCTCCTAAACAGTTTTCTCCCTCATCTGTTTCAATGCAGTATACATTACGAACCCATCTTTCTCAGTCTCCTCCCAACCCCGAGGTCAATCCTGCTTTACAACAGTGGCACCATGCAGTATTTGTCCTTTTGTGACTGAGTTACTTCACTCAACATAATGTCCTCCAGGGTCACCCATTTTGAATAATATTGCATGAGTTCCTGTTTTTCAACGCAGTGTAGTATTCCATTGTGTGACTATACCACAGCTTCTCTACCCATTCGTTTGTTGATGGGCACTAAGGTTGCTTCCAACTCCTTGCTATTGTGAACAAAGCCGAGGTAAACATGGGTGTGCATATATCTGCTTGGATATATGTTATGGTCTCTTTGGGGTATATTCCCAGTATTGGAATTGCTGGGTCAAATGGTATCTCTATCTGTAACTTTTTTAAGAAAGCGCCACACTGCCTTCCACAGTGGTTGTACCACCAGTGGCAACTCTTGAGAGCTGACCTCCTCGCACTGTTGACCTGAGACATGTTCCTAGCACATGTTATAGTACTTGGAGTCACCATGATTCAGTGCTGACTTGATGCAACCAGCAACATAGTCACTTCATTTTTCGATACAAAGAATATTTTATATTCTGATCTTTTTTATTTTGCAGACACAGCATTTAATGTCCGTTTATAAATGTTTTTGTTTTCTTTTTTTAAAATTAGCTTTTTAAAATTCAACTGGCCAATAAGGGTTCCCAGATATCTGTCAATAATGGATTTAATCTGAGATATCTATCATACTGAGAGGAGGTGGGTGCCCCGACCACGCAGACCGCTTGGAACCTCACTCCTCTTTGTCCTCAAGGTTCCCCCTCTTCACCTGACCTTGAAAGTGTCAGGAGACAAGTGCGGACACGGAGGTGAAACCTCAGCACGCTGGTCACACCACCTGTCCGACTCACCAGTCTCTCGCTGACTTTAAGGCTATCCCCCCACCATGTTCAAAACCACAGACCAGTCTATGACATTCCTGTTGGAGCCCTCTTCCACCTGACATCACAGCCCCACAGCCGTGGGCTTGGGCAGCAGGTGGACCTCCCCTTAGGCACTCTGGAGCACTCAGCACTGACTGCTCTGGGAACAGTGGTCACACATGTTGTTCCACCCAAACCTAATTTCACATTCTAGTCCCTTTCACAGTGATAGGAGCCCTGGTGGCACAGTGGTTAAGTGTTTAGCTCCAACAAGAAAAGTCATCCGTTCTACTCCACCATCCCTCTGAGGGACACAGCTGTGGCAGCGTGCTCATGTGACCACCACGGCATTTAACACCCTAAGGGCAGTTCTCCGGTTCTTTCTTGTTGCTCCGAGTTGGAGCTGACTCAATGGCAACAGTTGTTGACTCATGTGATAGTCCTGTCCACCAACGTGCCTGATTACTAAAGTTTCTTCCTAATGAGTGACTGCAAAAACACCTTTTTCTCTGAGGGCTACAGGGGTGAGAGCAGAGGGGCGAGGGTTGTACAATGTGGTGGGTGGAGGGAGTGGGTAAAGGAAATGGAGAAGATGTGGTGGCGACCTGGAAAGACAGGTTAATGGTGGGTACTAATTTTAATGCAATGAATGGGTATGACTGTAGGAAACACAATGTACATGAAGAATAGTGTGAAACACAATGTACATGAACTTTGTAAGCAAACCAATATAAAATAAAAATGTAAAACCTAACAAAACAACACCCTTCTTTCTTCACTGATGATGTGCTTGTCTTTCCATCTCAACACGTATCCCTTACTCATTTACAGATTTCCATTCTCTTTTCCCCACTTCCATCCCTGGTAACCACCCAGAATGTGTCTTTCTGTGTGCCAACTTTTCTTTAGCATTTTTCATTAGTGAGTTCATATAATTTCTCTGCTTTTGACCGACTCAACATCCAAAAGCCCTACACAGAACCCTGTGCAGGCAGTTGTCCAAAAACCGCTCTCAACGGCATATGGGAAGCATTCATATGGCTGGACAATTCTGAAATGACAGTTTTAAGTAGCTGTTTGATAACAGTTTGTGAACTTACTGGTTAAGCTGTATAAACAGGATGTATGCTTTCTGACCAGATTATCAAGAGGTGTGTCAGTACAGCGGGATGGCAGCTAAGGATGGCCAGAGAGCCGCAGTCTCTGCTGTATGGTGAAGGATGAGGGAAGGCAGGGGACTGGACACAGGAGGGCTGAGAGGGTAAAGGTGCTGTAATCATCCAGATGGGCTGCGGACCAGGAGAGCTGTTGAAAGGTCTAACAAAGGCCTTGGGAGGAAACAAAGGCTGAGAGCTCAAGCTGAACACACACTACACACTGCACAGGGAGGCCTGTAAGAAGTTCTGCCTGCACCAGGGAATCTAGGGAAACAGGGGAGCTGGAAATAGAGCACGAGCAGCAGTTGTCAGCTGGTTCAGAGATCACAGGTCAGTGAACATCAGGCCATCAGCAACAGTTAGGACTCAGAAGATCACCCTGACCACCCACATCCACCGGCCCAGTCGTGCTCTGAGGACCATCCTGTCTCACACCCACTGGCCTGGCCATGCTCCGAGGACCATCTTGACCGTCCCACACCCCCTGGCCCAGTCGTGCTCCACACCATCCTGACTCTCCTTCACCCACTGGTGCAGTCATGCTTCAGGGACCATCCCACACCCTGGCCTGGCCATGCTCCGAGGACCATCTTGACTGCCCCACACCCCCTGGCCCAGTCATGCTCTGTGGACCACCCTAACATCCTACACCCACCAGTCTGATCATGCTCTGAGAACCACTCCTGATTGCCTCAATATTTACCAATATGGATCTCAGGGCAGAGTTTGACTTGCTTCAAAAATACAAAGGAATTCAATCAAACAGTAAACATACTGTGCTTCAGTCATTAGCACCATAGAAAAAAAACAGGGACATTCATTTCACTAACAATTATTCTCACAATCTGGTTATATGTTCCTATTCTATACATCTGCACATCTCAGTTTGGAAAAAAATGTATCCAGATGTCCCTTCTGAACTAGTTATACAATACAGGTAAATGAATAAGAAGGGATACTCCACAGACTAGCTTTCAAATGCTTTAGGTTGAAGACCCCTTAAGAGGATCTTAAAAAGTATGTAACTATTTGTATATCTTAAGTGAATAATTAAGTAATTACAAAAGGCATGCTTTGCAATACACTATAAATCCCACTATTGTAACATCTTTGTATCGCTGTCATCTGAATGTGATTTTGAAAAAGGCATTAATTTTAATTTCATAGTTGTCTGCTGACCAGAACCAACACACAGTGAGGTTTCAGAGGAAACCCCCAAATCAACTGCACAAGAGGAGACTGCTTATCTTTTTGCCATGGAGTGGGTGTTGGATATGAACCATGTGCCTTTGGGTTGGCAGGGCAACTCCCTATGGACTACGTCATTGGAGCTCCCTAGTTTTATGGCTGGAAAACCTTTTCTCTCCCTGAGAAAAAGGACTGTTCTTTTGGGAGGGATCTCGTCCTTGCATATAGTGTGCCTGCTAAGCTCCAGCTGGTTTTCATCTCTCTCTTACAGACTTGTTCTGAGAGCTCTGGAGGCAATGTGTTTCCTCTGACCATATTGAGGACTCAGAAGTGTCTAGAAGCTATGAGCATGGGGGTGAGTTTGCTTTGAGTCTTACAGGGTGATCTAGGTGGACTTCCTGATGTCACTGGTGCTTTGTGTTATTTCTGGCGATGACTGCTTTGCTAAACCATGACAGGGTAGGCCTAAATTTCCAGCTCCATACCTACTGTCAGAACAAATTTGATCTATGTTTAAAGACAGTACCAGAGGAAGACAATTTTAATTCTTTTGTTGTCATCATCTTATCGCTAATCATTAAGAGTACTGATGATCCCATGGACTGCCAAAAATACAGATTATGTCTTGGAAAAAGTGTAGTCAGAGTGCTCCCTGGAGACAAGGATGGTGAAACTTCATCTCACATATTTTGGGCATGTTGCTGGGAGAGACTATTCCTTGGAAATAGGTATCATACCTGGAAAGGTGAGGGTCAGTCAAAGTGAGGAAGACCCTCAATGAGATGGAGTTGATACAGTGACTGCAGCAGTGGGCTGACGTGTCAGAGATGGTGAGGACAGGGTTCATGTCTGTTGTTCACAGGGTCGCTGTGAGTCGTACTCGACTTGACAGCACCTCATGCCGCCACCACTACAATCATTAACGTAGCCCTATGTTGCTGGGTGGCTCAAGTGGACAAAAATGTCAACTCTCCATTGATAACCCAGAAGTAGTCTATGAGGTTAAAGAGATGGCACTTACTCCATGCCCTGTGCAGTCTGCCGTGCGATGTCTATGAGCTTGATCATCTCAAATTTGGTCTCGATGATGTGGAGATGGTGGTACAAGCTGGAGCCCTCACACCACTGAGTGACGATGGCCAGCTGTGGCTTTGTTGAATAGCCCATAAAAAGTAGGATATTCACATGTCGTGTTTTCCTGTCAAAGGAAATGGGGCAGGAAATAGAAAAAGTTGACAAACTTCAACAAAATCTTTGACTAAGGAGGGCCAAGGCCATCTACAATGCAGGTATTATTATTATTATTTAAAGTCAAGAAGGGTAAGTTTACATGAGATTTTATAAGTGGGGTGGTATAACTCCCATTCTATTGAGAAATGTTTTCATCTCATAGACAGACACTTAAGTTACTTAAATATCCTCAGTTATGGGAATCGCATTACTGACACTGACTAGGTATCTTCCCCATCATTTTTTTTTAATGGCTCTACTATTTAGAACTGTCTTGGAGAGGGTGAAACCAAGTTTGTCCTTGGAGGTTAGGATTCTGAAGCTCTGTCTCACATGCTTTGGGCACATGGCCAGAAGGGACTGGTCCTTGGAGAAGGACATTATGCTCGGAAGGATGGAGGGGATGGAGGGACAGCGCAAAAGAGGAAGACCCTGAATGAGAAGGACTGATGCAGTAACTGGGGCGATGGGGGTGATGTGTTGGAGTGAGACAGGCTCAGGACAGGGCTGGCTTCAGAGCTCCTGTACGTGGGTCACTATGAGTCACAGGCGACTTTATAGCACTTAACAGAGGATTTATAAAGTTTTTCTTGGGTGAAGACAATTTCCTACAACTTTTACCCTGTTTCTTTCCCTTTCAGTCCTCTGGCATAAGAGTAAGTTTGCCTTTTCTTAAACATAACAGTCTTTCTTCTTAAAGATAATGTCTGTATTGTTGCTGACAATGTCCACAGTGACACCAAACCACTCCTCACGTTGCGTACCATTCTTCCCTCCTTTCCTAGGTTCTCCCGGGACCCTAACTCCCCGCCTGGAAGGTTCCTTTCCAGCCTGGCCTTGCACTGTCCATTTTAGCCTGCAGTGATAGTTCTTCACAAGAGCACAATGCACAAGGCTTCCCTAATGACTTCAGGGGTAGGTTTATCAGGTTTAGAGTTGCTGGGGGTTCAGCTAGCTTCACTTGCTCTAGAAAGTCTGCATTCTATGAGAGTCTGAAACTGCCCACGTATCTTCAGTCTGCCAATATTCTTCCCATCAGTCCTGTTTCTGTGACCTGCCCCAGCAAGGCTGCTACTCTGGGACAGACTTGAGGTTGTTTCTCAAGGTCCAGAGTTCAGGACTAAAAACCACCTCCCAGTGTGTTCTAGTGAGCTTCTATTTTGAGAGCGCTAGAATTTTTCTTGTGTCCGTAAGAGCTCCTATACTACATTTCCTTGAATACAAATGGACCATATAATACGGCAATCTCTTAAAGAACAGGAGGAGACAAAACATCTCCCAACAGCCTCTGCTTCTACATGTTTATACCATTTTAGTAAAACTAAGAGCGGCTGCCACTGGGAAAGTGAGCTTGTCAAGTAAGCTTCCCCTGGGACCCAGCACACCCCGATGCGCGCTCCTGCTCCCCCAGCACCACACGCGCACGCTCCAGAGGACTCGGCGTGCTCACCTGAGTACTCCCACTTCATTTTTGAAGGCCTGTAACTGCTGAGGTGTGGGCGCCGTCACGTTCAGCATCTTTACCGCCACGTCACCTAAAAAGCAATTGTCATCTCAACTGTCATTCCAGTTTGGCTTTTCAATGAAAATGAGAAAAATTTCTTCAAAGAAGTCTATGAAAAATATGATTTGTACATCTTCAAAATAAGCAAAAAAATTCTTGCATACTAAAAATAATTACAACAGCCCTACTACTAATTCTCTAAACGTCATCCCATTTGCTATACACAAAAATTAACAAAGAGAGTGCCAGATGGTGATTTCCTAACACCAAGTGACCACCTGCCCACCCAACTTTTCTGCCATCCATTCAGACTGGTACTGACCCGCTGTCAGGTCTGTCAGGCTGTACATTGTTATCGGGAGACTGCCTATCTTTCTCTCTCAGAGAAGTGGGGGGATTGGAACACCTGACCTTTCCATTAGCAGCAGGACTTGAAGCACATTACACAACCAGAGCTATTTAGATTAGTATTTAAAAATAATGATCCAGGGTACAGTCCACCTTGATTTTCCCCTATCAATTGAGTATAAGCAATTAAGTACCTGGTTCATTAACAGTATTAAATCAGATTATTTTCTAAGTTGTTGTTGATCGCCTCTGAGACGAGCACGACTCCTAGTGACCCTATGAACAAGAGGCCTGAAGCCCCTCTACAACCTTCAACATATATCAAAGTTCAAAGAGTTTCAGAGGCATGCCGTTTAGGAAGGGGTCGCCACTCCTGCTTTCAAAGAGAAGGCTGAAACTAGGGATGGCAGGCTCACTGGTATTTGGCTTAAAAGTAGAAAATGATAAATTTTTTTTCAATCATAACAGTGTACCTCCTAGTCCACAGGTTATGTATGGTGCTTTTGTTAATGAAAAGGATTAGGTCTCTCCCTCACAGGAGAAAAATGAGGTTTTTGAATGAGACATAATTAAAAAAAAAGCACCACCAAACCACTTGGACCCTCTAGCGAGTGTGCACCCTGGTGGTCATTCTGCAGAACTGTGGCAGCCCCAGTGGGCACGGAGTGTGTGCGCCCCCCTGGCCTCAAACTTCCCCTGCAGAAATGGACATGCATGTCCACGGCCGCACTGCTTGCCAGAGTCCAAACTGAAAACCACTTAGGTCTTATCAGAGATTTGGAGAGAGGGAGAGATCCTGCCATAGTGTGAAGTGGGGTGCGGGGCAGCTCTGAGAAGATACGCACTACAATCCACGGACAGGAAGCTGTGGCCACTGCCATGCAATCAAGGCGCTGTGGTAAATGGTTGAACGCAGCCATGGAGACAGTTTATATATAAATGAGGTGGCAGGAAGGGCACAGGAGTCACAGCACGCAGGGGACACTGTTTACTGTCCAGGGACAAGTCACTGTGTGAGACCTGTAGCTACTGTGTGCTCAGGAGATCTGTACTTTTCCCATTTCTAACACACTTCAAAAAAAGCTGTATAAAAGTAGAGAGTCTCCTCAATTATCAGGAATAAAGTGCTCACACAGTAAAAATGAAAGAAAAAAAATAGGGCAGCTCTGGCAGCCTAGTGGAAAGATGCTGCACTGCAATCCCAGAGGTATTCAGTTCGAATCCACCACATGCTCTGCTGGAGGAGGGGCAATATCCTCCTGTACCAGTAAGCTCTATTTGATGATACACACAAAAAATAATTAAGTTAAAAAAAAATTTTAAAAAAGTGGGAAAAAAGAAACGAGTCATTCAGTGACAACCACCACTATCAGTATATTCATGTCCATCTTTCTAGACTTTCCAAGTAAGATTTTCTATGACTATTTAAAACTACAAATAAAATGGCAACAAAGAAGTCTATACACTAAAACCCTAACAGACATTTCTTTGATACATACTTTGTTACATATGCAACACCACAACACAGGATGCCGTACAATTTCATACACCACTGACACCTTCCTTACCCAGCAGTGCAGCCCAACCACACCATCAAGAAGTTAAGGAGTTGAATAGAAGATTTCAAACGGCTGCTCGGGAAGACAATGCAAAATATGATAATGAAAGGTGCAAAGGGCTAGAGTTGAAAAATCAAGAGAGTCAAACTCACTCAGCATTTCTTAAGCTGAAAGAACTAAAATTCAAGCCACGAGTTGCAATGCTTAAGGATGCTATGATGGGTAGAATACTGAATCATTCAGGAAGCATTAAAAGATTATGGAAGGAGTATACAGAGTCATTGTACCAAAAAGAATTGGTTGACACAGAATAATTTCAAGAAACAACATATAAGCAAGAGGCAATGGTTATGAAGGAGGAAGTGCAAGCTGCTCTGAAGGACTTGGCCAAAAAAAAAAAAAAGCCCCAGGAATTGATGGAATACCAATTGATGTATTTCAGCAAAAAGATGCTATCCTGCAAATCCTCACCAAGTTGTGCCAAGAAATCTTGAGGACAACTACTTGGCCAACTGACTGGAAGAGATCCATATTTATTCCCACTCCAAAAAAAGGTGACCAGACAGAGTGTGGAAATTATTGAACAATATCACTAATACCACACACTAGCAAAATCCTGCTGAAGGTTATCCAGAAAAGACCTGAACAATACATTGACAGAGAACTACCAGAAATTCAAGCGGGGTTTAGAAGAGGTCATGGCACTAGGGACATTATTGGCAATGTCAGATGGATCTTGGCAGAAAGCAGAGAGTACCAGAAGAATTGTTGTTTCATTGACTACGCAAAGGCATTTGACTGTGTAGATCACAATAAACTGTGGCTAACCTTGAGGAAAATGGGAATCTCAGACCACTTGATTGTGCTTATATGAAACATATACTTGGACCAAGAAGCAGTCCTCAGAACATAACAAGGAAACACTGCATGGTGCAAAATCAGGAAAGGACGGCATCAGGGATGTATCCTGTCCTCGTACATTTTATTTTTTCTCTTGCTCCCACTTGATGACCTCTTCTTAAATTTTTTTTTATTAATTTTAATGAAAATTTACAGAGACTTTGGATTTCCATTAATTCATTGTTGCACTTTTCTCCCCCACCCCACCTCTCTTCCCCAGTACACTACCCTCTTGGAAAAGTAAAAGAAAAATTCTTTCATTGTTTTACAATCCCTCCTCCCAGGTCCACTCCACTATGTAGCCTTCGCTCTGGACTCCTCTCATGACAATAATACCTAATCACATATCTCTTTTAAACAGTTTTCTCCCTCATCTGTTAAAATGCAGCAGTATACATTATTTATCCCATCTTTCTCAGTCTCCCCGCAACCACAACGTCAGTCCTGTTTTACAACAGTGGTACCAAGCAGTATTTGTCCCTTTGTGACTGAGACATTTCACTCAGCATAATGTCCTCAGGGTCACCCATTTTGAATAATATTGCATGAGTTCCTTGTTTTTCAATGCAGCATAGTATTCCATTGTGTGAATATACCACAGCTTCTCTAGCCATTCATTTGTTGATGGGCACTTAGGTTGCTTCCAACTCCTTGCTATTGTGAACAAAGCCGAGATAAACACGGGTGTGCATATATCTGCTTGGATGTCAGTTATGGTCTCTTTGGGGTATATTCCCAGTAGTGGAATTGCTGGGTCAAATGGTATCTCTATTTGCAACTTTCTGAGAAAGCGCCACACTGCCTTCCACAGTGGTTGCCCCACCTCGTACCTTTTCAGTTTATACACAGAACAGATCATTTGGGAAGCAGGGCTTTATGAGGAGGAGTGCAGCATCAGGACTGGAGGGAGACTCACTCATTAACAACCTATGATATACAGATGATACAACCTTGCTTGATGAAACTGAAGAAGACCTAAAGCATTTGTTGCAAAAGGTCAAGGACTATAGTCTTCAATATGGATTGAAGCTCAACATTGAGAAAGATTCTCACCACTGGGCCAACTGGCAGTACCATAATAGATGGAGAAGAGACTGAGATTGTTAACAATTACAACTAGCTTGGATCCACAATCAACATTCTTAACAGCAGCAGTCAGAAAATCAAAACACGACTTGCACTGGGAAAATCTGCTGTCATGGATCCCTGCAGAGTGCTGAAGAGCAACGATGTCAGTCTAGATACAAAGGTGTCCCTAATCCAGGCTATGGTCTTCTCAATTACTTGTTATGCTTCAGAAAGTTGGACAATGACTAAGGAAACCTTCGAGTTGTGGTGCTGGAGAAGAGTGTTGAACATACCATGGACCGCCAAGAAAACAAACTGGTCTGTCTTAGAGAGGGTGAAACCAAGCCTCTCCTTAGAGGTGAGGATTCTGAAGCTCCATCTCACTCACTTTGAGCACGCGGCCAAGGAACACTGGGCCCTTGGAGAGGGACAACATGCTCAGAAGGGTGGATGGACAGCAAGACCCTACGTAAGATGGACTGATACAGTAACTGGGGTGATGGGGACTGGTGTGTCAGAATTAGTGAGACTGTCTCAGGACAGGGAAGGTTCAGAGCTGCTAGATATAGGGTCACTATACATCACAGGCGACTCAATAAATGTCAACAGGCGCTTTAAGCATTTGTTCTTAGGGTTACGATGAGACGTGCTCGACTTGAAGGCAACTGACAGCAGCACAGCCCGAGCTCTGGCGGCAGGTCTGGAGTGTTGCTAATCCAGCGGCTGCCTATCTCCAGTGGTCTGGATTCGCCACTCACTCCACAGGCCAGAGTCTACTCTGGTTAAGAGTTACAGCCCCAGAGGCCTGGTGGGGGGCTGCTAGGGGCTGGAGTCGACTAGACGGCAGCATGTATCAAAGGACCTGGCTAGCTACTGCTCTAGTCATGGTCTACTCTAATGGTCACTTAAGTTTACCGTCACTTTTCCTTATGAATTCTGTGATCTGTTTACTTGTGTACGTATCTGTTTGTTGCTGTCCAAGTACTTGTTCAAAATAAAGTCCTACAAACAGACTTGCTGGTTGTCCAGTTTTGTTTTCTTAACACATATGTTAATCCAACTGTCCTCCAGAAAATGTATTTTTCCAGCAGCTTAATCACAATCATAACTCGTAGTTTTATCTATACTTTTTTTACTGTGATCTGAGTGGAAGTTTATAGAGCAAGCTGGTTTTCCACTCAACTCTTTGCAAACATTTGTTTTAGGACATCAATTATAGCTCCCATGTTGCAACCCCACTGTTCCCACTTTCTCCTAGGTTTTCATTCATCCTTCTATGCAACCCTTCTGATCTTCTGAGCTTTCTCCCTTTGGGACTGTTCTAGAAAGAGAGATGCTCTTGCTTACCTTACAGGCCTGTCTACTGTTCAGATGAAAGCAGAACCATGGGGGTCAGAGCTAACAGCTCTAGGCTGGAGGCGGGGGACTGGGGGAAGACAGACTAAACGCCAAAGTCTTGTGGGTTCTATCAGTCTCAGCATCAGTAAACTGGGCCGTTAGCATGATTCTGAGTTTTGTTCCACATTTTTCTCCTAACTCTGTTCAGGACCCTGGTGAGCAGAGGTACTGGGTACATCATCTAGTTCTTCTATTTACTCATAGTTTTTAAAGTCTTGGATTGATAAAGAATGATTCCTAGGTTTTTCGTGACTTAGATAATTAGTGAGGTTGAATGTTTTGTGGTGGCTGTGTTTCATAGAGTTGGAACTGACCCAAAGCTGACCCTCCAGGGGTTTACAGAGGGAGTTAACTACATGGGAGGAAAGAGACCATTCTTCACCTGCAGAGCAGCTGGTGGTCTAAAACAGCATGCCTTTGGGACTGCAGTGCAGCTTCCTGCCACTAGACCATCAGAGCTTGTTCCTTCCTTGGTTAAGTGCATGTTTAATATGTCCACTTGTGGTTTATAACAAATACAATAATCAGCAGAAAGTCTTGGAAAGAGCAAAGAACCATTTTGGGAATGGCTTCCTGGAGGCCCTCCGTAAGCTTACTGCTACAATGGTGGAGTCACCATGCCCATACATACCATGCCACTTGCCCTTGTAGACAGTCCCAAATGAACCAGATCCGATTCTCTGTCCCACTGTGATCTGCCCGTCAGGGATCTCCCAGTCGTCACTTGAATCCCGCCTTCCAAGGGTTTTCTTGGAAAAAAATGCAGCAAGTGTCAAACCAAATCAAGCAAAGGAGAAGCTGCTGTATCATCTAAGTAATTTCCTATGTCTAAGAGGACATAAGCTCGGAAGAGAATCAGGTCTATTTTTTTAAAAACCACACCCTCTGGGGGAGTTAAAAAGTATGACTCTTAAAGTATGCAAAACTTAACCTTAAGGCTGAGGTCACTATTATGACAGAACAACTTGTTAGTCACTAAAACCCATTTATGGAATATAAACAAAAATGCATATGACAAAAGTCAATAAAACACACGTTTTTATCATTTAGAGACCACTGGAGATTACAAATAGTACACATCACTACTAATTTTGGGTCCAGATTCTCTAATTCTAAATCAATATCCTATGATAATGGCTGATACTTTGTCAGATAATTGCTCTTTCTCTTTCAGTGCTCAATTTCCTCATCTTTATAATCTAATCCACTCTCTTAAGCGGGTAACATCCTCGATCACTGGGAGTCACCTGTTAGGACATATATTGCTGCTAAAATGAAATGATGAGTTTTAAAATATAGATTCATTTTGCAGCATAAAGTTCACTTTTTAACAAGGAAGAAGGACATTTTGTGAATATATAAATGTTAGCCCTTTAGGATGCATTATATGCTTAAGCTTTTTTTCTAACTACCAAGTGACCTCTTTAACAGAAGAATGCTATTCTTATTCCTTCACTCCATTATATTAGACAAGACAGCAGATACCAGTGTTGTGGGTTATGCTTTCTGCAAAAGCAATCAGCTCATGAAGGTATGTGATCACAGGAGGGCTGTGTCACACGCAGACATGTCTAAATCTCTCCTATGGGCCTTCTGTTTGGCTGTGAAACCGTCAAACATCTCAGTGAGAAGCAGACATTGTAGGATCTTACCATTCGATTCCTGTCTTCCGAGGACGATGAAGACTTCCTTTCCCGCTGAGGCCCCGGAGACTTCTGTAAGGCTTTCACGTTTGTGAGGGAGCCCGGTAAGGATGCAGGAGGGGTGGCTGACAGACCCGTGGTGGATCCTGAGGTAGTAGACGAGAACACATCCGTTACAGGAGGATTGCACTCGGTAATTTATCAGGGGTGGGGTGATGCTGACTTATTGTAAAATGCAGTGCATGTTCAATACAGATTTTTTGAAAAGACAGGCCAAAATGAGGACCCATTGGATGCCTCCTACTGTAATTTTTCATTTTCTGGCAAACTGAAGATTTAAACATCTGACTGTAGACACAGCCTTAGTTTCCCGGTGCAGAGTCTGGATGCGAGCCACTTCCTGTGTACTTCAGGCACTAATAGCCCTCCCAGCAGAGGTGGCCTTCCTGCCTATGATTAGAGCAGGCCTCTGTCATGCTCAGGGCACTGTTGGCTCGTGGCCGGCCAGGCCTCACCGCCTCAGACAGACCCAGGGAAACCAAGGCTCAGTACCTACAAGGTCCACTCCCTTTGACAAGCGCTCCAGCACTGCCGGTCAGTAAGAGGAGACCTCTGGCCTCACTGCTCTATTCAGAGGAACTAGCGAGAGGTCGTGGTACAACGCTTACAAAATTATCAGAGCCAGACACCTGCCCCAGCTTTCAATTGAAAAAATATGAACCCCTCACTAACGAAGGTATGGCACGATGAATGGGAGAGCGAAATTCTACCTTTCCCCTCATGCGAGAGCATAAACGAGGTCATCAAGTTTTCAGACGTAGAATGCTAACATTACCAATCATTTTACAGCTCCCTACTTCTGACATGTTACAAAAAATGATAATATAGAATCTAAAAACAAGCCAGAAGTCTAGTAAAATTTTCCAATGACTTCAATTTCTATTTTTATTTCTTTATAGACCATAAAAAATGGATTATGACAAGTATTAACGGTCATCAAAGTTGTCACTTACACAGAAAGGAGCTCAAGTGGAGGGTGCCCCCATCACTTATGCCCCCCGTACACGTGGAGCTACAAGAACCAGAACTAAGCTCAACAACAAACAACAGGTGCTCTGCAGCGCGTGATGGGGTGATGGTGGCACACACGGGTGGGGTGAGGTGGTGGGGAAGCACAGTCAGAGCATCCGGCCAGGGCAAGCACGTGCAGACACACACACACACACCAGACGCACGCCGTGAGGGTGGGCACAGACAACACGGGGCTTTCTACTGAGTTTGCTTTGGGTGAAAACAAGAAAGAAGAGCCCAACTACCTCTGAACACTGGGCCAGGCTCAAAATCAAACACTATCTCACTGGGGACAGAATGGAGGAGGGGGCTGGGAGTCCGGGACTGGCACTTCCGAAGGCAGCGCGCCAGCTGGTTCAGAGGGGCTGTTAGAAGAGAAAGAGAGGGCGGGCAAACACAGAAGACACACACAGAAGAGATGAAAGAAGTCACGGGCTCAATATGACGGCCTGAAGCCTGCTGACAAAATCGTTCTGGACGCTTAAGAAAAGGTTATTTCCCTAAGACCCTTAGGTTTTTAAAGCGATTCATGAAAAGGACAGGAAGCGTCACTTGGCTTTATGCACTACGCAGGCAGTTTTCATGATTAAGTTAACTTTGTGACGCTAACACAATGACCACATTCAAATGCTGGATGGATTGGGCAAAATTACCAAAAGCCACAGCTCTTCACTCAGACATACGAAAGCCGTACCGGCAGCAACATTAACTGGCATGTTCATGAACAACAAACAGCAAACAACAACAACACCTGGACAGCTGTGTGCTGCGATCAGTACTAAGTCAGAGTGTACAATGCAGGGCCTTCACAGGTGCACAGAAGGGAAACACGGGAGTGGCCAATGTCCTCTCCAGGGAAAATCCTGTGAGTCCAGGCCTGTCGCCTGTCCCCGTTGAGGCTGGACCCAGGGAAGGGAGCAACTGCGAGTAGAAGCAGCCTTCCCACCCTACGGGGATCCAGAGGACAGCTTCAGGACACTCTCAAATAGCATCTCTTGGGAAACAATATATGGGCTAAAAGGACTTCTTAAGTGGTGCTGACATCCCCAATGTTCAGTGGGTGTTAGAGAGAGGTCACCTGGTGAAAATCCTGAGGGAAATTGCCATTCAATTTCTTATCTGCTATTTTATTTATTGTTAAACAACAACAAAACAAACCTGAGCGGGCAAAGAGGGCTACGTGCTACGTTATTTGTGGTCGTACGCCTCACAATCTTCCACTAGGCTGACAGGAAGGCTGGACCGGCCATCTGACCTCAAGGGCTCACCCCTGTTCACATGATTTGGGAAACTGAGGGCTACTGAGTTGTGAGCTCCATCTTAAAGCATCAGAGACGGGTCCCAGAAGAGTCAGCCACCCTGACTCTGAAGAGAGCGAGCAGAACAATCAAGGGTCTTCCGTCAGTGCAGTACTTTCACATGGAGGGCACGTTTAAGACTCTATTCTCTACCTCCTCATCCTCTCCAGTCACAATGTCAATTAATGAATATTTTATTATCCCTAAGTGGTATGTATTAAAGAAAAGCAAAAAGAATTGAGTTTCCTCTACACATTTTTCTGTGTTTGTGTTTCGTGAAAGAGGCAAATATAAAAAAAAAAAATAAGCAGCAAAGCAATTGCATTTCCCTCTAAACTAGGTGTTTTTTAAATAAAAACTAAAAACACTACTTACCTCCATCACCACGAAACCCTTGGTCTCTAATCAAGTCCTACAAATAAACAATAATGCGTGTTTATTCAAAGCATATGGTGAAAAACTGAGGAGCAGCAATGAACTGTCCACTAAGAAAAGGCTTAACCCAGTCATTAACATGAAGGGTGATTAAAAAAAAAGACGCGTCTTATAGGGAGTTCACAGAACTGAGAGAACGTAAAACCAGCTGGGAAAGAAACTAAACCCAAGTTTGGAAGCCCTTGCCCCCCTCACCCCACACTGACCATCTCAAACCATCTGAAACCAACGGTTACATGCATTCTTCAAAAGCAATTCTCTGGCTGTGTGTAAAACCATTCACACCCCTGGATCCTATAATCCCACATCCAGGAATGTTCTCTAAGGAAGGAAGATGGTGATCCTTGCCGCATCTCTCAGAGGAGACTGTAAGGAGGAAGCATCCTCCCGGGAGCAGGCCGCTTGAGTGCCAGGCAGCTCCACCGGACCCCATGCAGCACTGGTTACAATCATAAAAAGAACGTGCATAAGATACACTGGAGGGGAACTTTTAACTCAAACATGAGGGACTGAGTGGGCTCAGATGTCTCTAAATATGTTCTTAGAAAATGGCTAACCCCCACATATATTTTAATGAGACTCCCTGAGGAATCTTGAACCTAGAGCTTGAAACCCACTGTTGTATGTATCTTTCATTGTTCTACTAGACTTCAAGCCGATCTTGTGTGTTTCATTATTAAAAAATATTTCCCACATTAAAAAAAAAAGGCTAAAACCTACTTGGAGAAACCTCTTCCCAGATGTGTTTCAATTATGTTCAACATGCTCTCGTTTTCACTGCAACAACTAACAAATACTCATTGTTTGCCTGTAAAGCAGGGGCCATGGGTCACTGAGAGTCTGACAGTCCTGCTGCTCTCTATTCCTGGGAGCCGACAATCTAAGCAGGGAAGGATGGACAGGTGTTTCAGGTCAAAGTGAGTGTAGCTTAAGAAAATAATAGGAGGAGGGCGGCTGGTGCTTAGGTAATCTTCTAATGAAGTGGTTTGGGCAGTGTGTTGCTCAGAGCTCCACAAGATCGAAGTGTGGCCAGATAAATAACGACAGGGCTTAGTCATCACGAGGTGGGACAGGCTGGGCTCTGACTGCGGGTGGAGGATGGAGAGAAGAAAAGTTGAGTGTTCTAGGCAGACAGACAGACAGATGGAGGCACGCCACCGCTTCTAGAATTCCGTTCGCCACAAGCATGAGTGACCCTGATGCTGCATTCTGGTCTCCACAACTGAAATGAGGACTTGCCGTCCCCCGTCTCCTGACAGCCCCTCACCATCTCAGCCCCTTGTCCTGGGTGACTCAAGACCTCTACTGCTTCATCTCCAGCTTGGCCATCTTTCTTGTAGCCCTTTTGGCCTCCATCCCTTCTTGCAGCACAAGTGTGAAAACAAGTCCCTAGAGAACTTGCTTTCCTGTTCCACACTCACTGACACACGTGCACAGAAGTGTGGCAGACAAAACCCAGGCGTCGCTGAGGCAGATACCAGTGTCCTCATCATGGCTGAGGAGCCTGTCCAGGGCCAGGGGCCCAAGACCAGTGGCAGTGCCAGCCCTGGTGCCATTGCTGAGTATCTCAGAGTCAGAGCTGACCCACAGCCAACCCTCCAGCAGGTTTTTAGAGGCAGTAAATCACACGGGAGGAGGCTGCCCATCCTTCTCCCGAGGTGCAGCTGGTGGCCTTGAACCATGTGCCTTTGGGATTGCAGTGCAGCATCCTGCCAGTAGGCCATCGTAATTCTGTCAGCACACCACCGAGGAGCCTGAGTGTCTGCAGTTCCTCCTCTTGTCACCTGTATCCCTCTCTCTTCACTGACTCTCTCAGCTGGCTCCTGTCTCTCGATCTTTCCTCTTCTGGCTCAAGCTCTGCTCATACTTCTGCAGTTCAGTCCCTCAGAGCCAAACGGGGCTTCATTGGCTCCCTCACGGCCTGCTCGCCTCTGCTCAGCTCCAAAAGCAGCTCTCGGCCATGCTAACTCAACCGTCATGCTCAGTCCTCACCCCACGTGTGTCTCAACGGAAGGCAAAAGCCTCGGCCTTGTTTCTTTTTACTGTGACAGGAGTGAATGTTTACAAAGCCGGCCGGTTTTCCAGCCAACCCCTCATACACGTTTGGTTCTAGAACCCGAATTATAATACCCACAATGCAACCAGCCTTTTCCCACCGCATCCCTGTGGTTTGTGTCCATTCTATCCCTGACTTCAGCCTTCTCTCATCCAGGACATACGATGACACTGAATTGATACTAATTTGCACAGTTAAAACTGAGAAGAGCACAGAATTAAGCTACAGTGTGCAAGATAAATGGAAAAAGTGGGGGGAAAAAGTCAAGAATAACTAGTCAAAAAGTGGCTTAGGTAACAGAAGACAGGTAATTATAACATACGACGTGAAAATAAGGAAGACACATTTTAATGATGGAATCCATAAAAACTTAACCTACAAATAAGAAAATGCCCAAACTGAAGATATTTAATGGGTGGGACACAATAACAAAGTGAGACAGGAAAGAGGATCAAGTGGCGATGACCAGCCCATGAGTCATTTAGTTCAATGAGATTTGCACTGTTTGGATAGAAAGAGCCCACTAGTCTCAATGTATGATGACTGAGCATGCGTGTTGTCTACTCATTTCTTGATTACTATAAAACCACCAGCTGGCTTGTCTGTTGGATAAACGAGGCCACGATGTTTATGGAGATGAAGTCCTAAAATAAAGTAGGGGGATCCTGTGATTCAGGACTAATTAAGTACCTGACAGGAGCCTGGTGGCACAGGCATTAGACACTCAGCTGCAGTCAAAAGGTCGGTAGTTTGTGGGTTTGGTTTTAAGTATTTGGTGCCATGGGAGAAGAGAGGTGAGGCCTCTCTCTGACGTCTGATCTGTGGCTCGTGAAAGACCCATCCCTGAAGCGTGGTGAGTGAGAGATGGTAGTTACTTCTGACAGGGTCACAAACATGGCACACAGACAAGGCGCTGCTCGCGTGACGGTGATGATACTCACGTCAATATTGACAGGCTCGATGGTGTTTATATGCACGTTGGGAGCTGAGGAGGACCGGTCTCGCTGCCCAAACTGATTTCGATGATCTTCATCTGCTGGTCGGAAGGGCTGTGGAATTGGAATGGATTTTGAAGGAGACGGACTGGTGAGAATTGGGGGCCTGGAAAAATCAAGTCATTGGGAGATAAGATTCAGAGCAACTTCATAAAGGAACTAACAGAAAAAAACGGGCGCTTGGGAAGGTCTGTTTCTGTATTCTCCAATCTTTAAAAATGAAAGATGGAGCGATAACGCAGTGACATTGGTTCCTAAGCCCAACAGGTATCTACTGACGGTACCAACAGGGCTGCCCATCTGAGCAACCCCAGCGGGCCTCTGGGCACAAGGAAGAGACCTTGCCTAGGGGTCAGCAGCACTACCCAGCTAACAAGGTAAGTCAGCAGTGCTAATCAGCTACAGAAGTCAGCAGTGCTAACCATGTGAAGAAGTCCTTGTCCTATTCAAGTGACAAAAAGGGGTTCCAAGCAGAGAACAAATAGGCTAACTTCCATTTTTGTAACGTTGTCATTTGATAACTGAAGTTATTAAAAAGAAAATCTGTTGGAAAGTGGACTCAGTATCTGCAGACCCCCTGGTCCCACACCAGCTCCTAAGAGTCACAACGGCAGGAGATTCTCCAAATCCAGGCTTCTTATCTGGCCAAGGTAACTCACACTCAAATTTTCACCATGTCCAATGACTGATATCCGAGACATGGAGAAGCAAAAGTATATTATACATGAAAACAAATCTTTAAAAAACAATTTATGGAGTGGCTGATCTAGGTATTGCAGACAGTGATGTTCTGGCCCTGGCACTCATGGGGACACAGCGGACGCAGGCACATAGGAGACAGGCTGATCAGCAACCCTGGACTGGAGGGTGGGCTGACACGGTGGAGTGAGGGTGCAGGCAGAGGAGACAGCACTGCCTTCCTGCGGTCCATGCTAGGATGGTGAGGTAACAGGAGGCTAACGAGCGAGCAGACAGAGAGCCAAGGAGGCTGGTGCGGACACAGGAAAACCAGGACTGGATTTAATCTGCTAAGGGCATGATGGTAGTCAGAAAAAAAAGAAGAGAACCTAACAGTGTGAAGACATTATACATTTCACAGAGGCGTCCAGGTCACTTCCTGAGGGCAAGGACATTCTACAGTTTTGGAGAGCAGGTCAAGCTATTCAACTGTGCTAATTCTAGGCTTATACAATTGGATTTATCTGCAGTTCCCCAGACACAGAGGAGTGAGCGTTCGTGCATCTGATAGAGGATGCCTGCTCTGTGCAGCAGGCACATGCCTCGCTGAAGTGAACCCCTCAGATTCTGAGTTGCTCAGCTAATCTGGATTCACAGAAATCAAGACATCCCTGCCTTTGTGCCACTCTGGGGCAACAGAGTCCATGCTGGGAGATCATCACCTGAACCACGGTAACCTGCACCTTGTGAGAAGTCTGTCGGCAGTCAGTGAGCCGGCTTCCTCCCAAGGATACCTTTACTTACCTTCCTTCAAACCTCCTTAAACTCTGTTATTACTAAATGAAAAATTAAAACAGCTTTCCTTCTATCATCTTCAGCAAATTACCAATTAATTTAGATTTCATTTTCAGCGTGGAATATGGACAGGTTTTGAAGCAGAGATTGCTTCCGTTCATGATATGAAAATGTTAACGTTCTGACCTTTCTATATGGGCACAAATTTAAGTAGACTAGGGACACAGGAACAGGTGTCTCTAACCTTGTATTCAAGGGTACGAAGCAACATACCCTTCCTGGTCACAGGTACTATCAGCCCTGCCTCCCGACCATTGCCAGTGGTATCAGGGCCACGGACAAGTCCCAAAGGAATGTGGCATGGGGTTCACGTGAGCACTTGCACAAATGTGTGAAAGGAAAGAACTTGGAAACGACATCCAGAGGAGGACTGAGTATTTTTTTGGCCGTGTGCTTCAGCCCAGAGTCTCCCTCAGTTCAATGCTGAATGGAATATGCCTGGCGCACACAGGCGAACTGTACAGGAGCATCAATCCGTCACAGGAGGCCAGTTTCCTGGATCTTTCTCATCACAGGCCTCTGGAGAGGCTGAGAGGTACCTGTCCAGGTGCCGTGACCCTGCTCCTGGAGCCATGCCTGCCAGTGGAACAGCATCCTGGCTTACACAGTGCTAGGAGCAAGCAAACGCAAAGGACAGACTGAGCACACATCAAATGGGCACAAAATTCTTGTATTTGCTTTCACTTCTGAGCAGCACACAGCTGCATAAGACAGGGCCATGGGAATGACAAGGCTCCCCCAAGGGCACACAAGTGTCACAAGCTGCCTGTCCTACTGTTCCAAACCAGACAAGCGCCCTTTCTCTCTCTAACCCACAGTCTTTGCTCCTTTGCTCACCAAGGAAGCCCCTAGAAAGCCCACTATGTGGGGACCCCTCCCAAACCACATGCCTCCTGATAAAGTGTAGTTTATGCTGCTTCAAATCCAGCCAGGAAAAAACAATCAGCTGACTACATAGGAAATGCCTTCAAACAAACTAAGAGCCCCCCCACTCTCCGTCATCTCCATCCCTAGTGCGGACCTCTGTGTGGTATTTAAAGCATTCCTCCTGCTGCCCTCCACAGCTGCCTACAAATATTCCTGGTTTTCTCTCTGAAGTCAGAACACAACCCACCTCCTCCCAAACATTCCCAGTTCTCTTACAGGACACTGTCCCTGTCCCCTATGGCCGCACTACCTGCCACACTACTTGGCCTCCTGGCCACTGTCTTCACTACACTGTGCATCCCACAGCCCAGCAGCGCTGGGTGACTCCTTCTCTCAAACGCTCATTAGGCCAAAGTCCAGCTCAGAATCTACTGAGGTTTCGCTTTCTTTCTTGTCTAGGTCAAGTCTAAATTCCAGTCTGCACCACCAAGCTTTCATAATCCTGCTAGTCACCAGAGCGGCCTCTCACTAGCTCCAAGACCACCAGTCCTTCCCCTCACCTGCGCTCGCTTGCTGCACCCACACTTCACCAGACCTTTTAGGCAAAGGGCTTATTCCAATTCTGGCTTCTTTAAGGCCCACTTCAAACTCCACTTTCTTCATTAAGTTTTCGTGACTTTCTCTAGTCTTCCATTTACTAATAATGTTTATGTCCTTATCACATGGTCAAATACGCCATCATATGTGACACGGTCTAATTAGAAACTTCTAAAGAGTGGTCTGCCCTTGTGTCCTGTGTTGCTGACGTCACTGGATATGGCAGTGTGCACGGGGCAGGCCTCAAGTCAGTCTGCAGGTGACAGGGCCTGAGAGGTCCTGTCCTTCACCCCATCATCTGTACTGAAAGCACATAAGGAGCTGACGGAGGCTTTTCAAATAACTTTGCATTTAACAATCTGAACTCTGGAAGGTTTAAAATTTTTAAAGCAGAAACCCACAAGAAAGTGGCTCAGATAGCAGGCCAGTGAAGAGCAGGGGTCAAACCGTACCCGAGAGCATCCGAGGAAGGTGCGGGGGGGGACGACCCGGACGTGAGGGCAGTCTCTGCTAAGGAGGCCTCCTCCTGCGGGATGGGATGGTGCTCAAAGAACTTGGAGACAAACAGCAAACTGTGAGGTAGAGACAAAAACAAAACAAAACAAACCTAACTTGTGCAAAACCACACACGTATATATCTAAGCACATTGCTACTAGGAAAAAAGAGGACAAAATCCCATTTCCAGAAACAACAGCTAAAGCTCAGTTCCACCCAGCTGCACTGGAAGGTTTTTCTGGAAACAGACAAACACGTTCAAAAAGTAAATGCAGAGTTTAAACTAATTCTTTTAGACAGCAAATTTCTAAATAATAAGAGGAAAAAAATGCTTTACAGCTAAGGAATTAAAAGAGAAAATCTATTATGACTAAACGAAAGTTGCTAGTACAAACTGTCGAGTTGTAACTGACCTATAGTGGACCCTCTAGCAGGTTTTTAGGGGCAGAAAACTCCATGGGGGAGAGATTGCCCATCTTTCTCATGGAGTAGTTGGTGGATTCAGACCATGTACCTTTGTGTCTGCAGCACAATCCTTTACTACTAAGCCACCTGAGTCCTCTAAATTTGAGTATCTCTCTATAATTTACTGCTAAAGTACTGTTAAAGTTGTATTTTAGTTGCTCAAGTGACTAACAGTTAAGATTTTAACATTATCAGTAATAATGAAATAAAAAAATTTCATAATCTTAGCCAATTTATGATAGAAAAATATGGCATAAAACAAAAAGAAATTTTAGATAGAGATACTCTGATAGACCTTTCCTTTTAAATAGAGAAGTGGAGAGATGGAGGCAGAGAGAAGGAGCGAGAAAGGGGAAAAACAAATGGGCGGTGGGGGGGGAGAGAGGAAGAAGGAAAAGTGAGCAAATGGGCGGGGAGGGGGGGAGAGGAAGAAGGAAAAGTGATTTACAGAGACGGACAGAAGCAGACCTCTAATCTGTGGGCCAAAAACACGGAGGTTAACTCCAAAAAAACAAACCTTCCATTCCTGCAGGACAATTCCAGCGTGACTATCTCGAAGGCTGAAATCCCAAACCAGCTGTCATCAGTTCCTATCTGTATGACCCTCCACTGGGCTTCTGAGGTTCTCAATCTCTACACAAGAGTGTTCCTCTTCCTCCCAAGGAGCTGCTGGTGGACTAAAACCACCCACCTCCGGGCAGCAGCACAACAAAGAACCATGTCACCAGAGCTCCTTTCTCTGGGTGGGTCTTTGTTAATTAAGAGAGAAAATAAACTAGAAATAAAGTTGGAACCAGAATCTGAGGGAAGGCTCTGTCTCACCCTGTACTTGTAATTTTTTACATCCCAACAACTGAACCAGGTAGAAAATGTCTCAGATTGTACAGCGCACCAGCTCCACACGTGAGAAAGATGAGAGAGCTCGGTGGTCACTTACTCCAGCTGGTCGTAATTGACGCACATCAGTGGCACCTCCGTGCTGCATCGCTGGTGAAACTTGTAACCACAGGTTTGACAACGGAAACCCTGGAAAAGCAGCTTTCGACAAAAGTCACAAAATGCTAAGGTGAAAAAAGTTTTCCGTACCTGCAAGGTGACAAATTAGAGAGGATGTTTAAATCTGTGAGAAGCCGTTGAGAAATCAACATTCTTGCTCTTACGTAAGTGTAAACAATACATCTTTACCACGTATCCTGTGAAAACCACACTCTACAATAGACACTAAGCTAAAAGGAGGAGATGAACTAAGTGTATCTCATCCTCAAATACCCAAGGGGAAACGTAGATGGCAAGAAGGTAGAAGGGTTGAAACCCTGGCATCTGCTGTTAAGCCAGACCACATGACCATGAGAGCTGGATGACAAGCAGGACAGAGGCAGGGCAAGGACGACTGAATCCCTGCACAGGGAGAGTGGTGAAGCGACCACTGTCAATGAACAGCAACGAGGGGGTGAGGAGGACGGTGGAAGACTAAGCTGGTGCAAATGGACTCTCCCCTCAGGGAATCATGTCTAAGGCTCATAAAACACGACACTCTGCCTTCAGAGTATTGTTGTTGTGTGCTGTTGAGTTGGAACCGACTCACAGGCGACCCTCCAGTAGGTGTTTAGAGGCAGTCAGTCACCTGGAAGGGAGCGCTGATGGCTGAGTGGTAAGGAGCTGCGCTGGACAACTAAAGGCCCGAGGTTGCAATCCACCAACTGCTCCGCAGAACAAAGATAAGCACGCTCCTGTGCGATTTACTGCTCCTGCAAGCCCTCTGCAGGGTCAGCCCTGAGCGAGGCCTGACCTGACGGCACACGACAGGACACTGAAGGCAGGGGCTTGTTTTCTCCGCTTTAGACAGGACTCCGTGAGGGGCGAGTCCGTGTGTAAGCTTCGTCACCCACGACGACAGCACCAATGCGCAGGACAAGGCTGCCCACCTCCCTCCTGGGGAGCAGCTGGGCGACTTGAACTGCAGGCTGCTGGGCTGGCAGCTGGCTCCTTCCCACTGGGTCACCAGAGCTCGGTCAGCGTGTCCAGCGGTGCAAACACCAGTCATCACACGCGCATACAACAGTAAGTGAGACTGGAAGCGAGTGGTGGGCTCCTCTCCGTCAGAGGCCCCTTGTCACTGTTTGGAACCCTGGTGGCACCTGTGTTAAGCACTTGGCTGTTAACTGGATGGTCAGCAGTTAGACCTCCCCTCCCATGCCCACCAGAAACTCTGGGGAGAGGGGACAACGATTGTGGGGAGCCTGCAGAGATGCTGAGGGAAGTGAGTCAATAGCAGAAGAGTTGGGGTTTGCTTTCAGATCATTTAGAAACCACTACTGTTGTCAGGTGCTGTCGAGTCAACTCACAGTGACCCTGTGAACAGAAGATCTGAACGCAGTCCTGTCCCGTGCCATCCTCACACTTCCTGACACACAAGAGTCCATTACAGCAGTCACCGTGTCAATCCACCTGGTCAAGGGTCTTCCTCTCCTTTGCTGACTCTCAACCCTTCCCAGCATCATGTCCCTCTCCAAGGAATAGCACCTCCTACCAACATGCTCAAAGTATGTGAGGCGAAGCCTCATCATTCTTGCCTCCAAAGAGCACTCTGGCTGTACCCTCTCCAAGACAGATCTGTTTGTTCTCTTGGCCCTCCTTATGGTTTAGAAACCATATACATGTATTATTTGATAAATATATAGAACCAATTATTTGGAAGATTACAAGCAGGAAAATCTGAGTAACTTTTCTTAAATTGCCTGACTAGGAAAAGGGACTCCCTTTAAGACAGTTTCAAGGGCTCCAAGCAAATCATCCATTTGTCAAGGGTTAGACCTCCGAGATCCGTGAGCTTTTCTCGCTGTAGATATTGAGAGCGGAATGGAGGAACTCCCTGTAAAAAAGGCCCTGATCTCTGTGTGGACTGCATCAACAGACCTGTTATCAAAGCCAGAACTGTTGACAAAGTATGTACTTGGTGGATATTGTAAACTGAAGACATAAGAAGGATAAACAGTTCACAGTGGCTCTTCAGAGGGAAGAACAGGGATGGCTTCTAAGTCCTTCTCCATTCCATATTCTCAGTAGGCTGACCACAAATGATAAGGTATTTTACACATGCCCAAGTATACAGCTGCATTCACATAACCATACGAACGCTGACTACGTATGCTTTTTTATCTATTGTTAGCTGACAGTAGGTTTTAACAGACACAGAAACTAGATAATGGCAAGTTTAACACTTGCCTCCTGCACTTCCACCAACCTATCCTTCAGAAACACTCACGTCCCACGGCAGCTGTGTGTACTGGGATGGGTCCCTTTTAGCCTGTATGCAACAGAGTGCAAAACAGCAACTGCAATGTCTGACAACCACGGGACAGTTCAACACCCAAATCCCTGCTCTCCTGGGCCATCAGGAAATCACTACAAAAGACAAAGCTGGACATACTGACATGCAAAGAGACTCACAATGTGTTTTTGCATTTAACAACCTGAACAGGTGAAGCACATCCCATTGCTACCCTTCCCATGGGACACACCTGCTTGGTTAAAAGGTGGAGAGTGAGTGGAAGGGAAAGGGCGGGGCAAAGAGGAGGGACTATGGGCTCACAGACCAGGTGCACACATTTGTGCGTGGACACAGAGGAAGGCCGCAGAGCACACTGCGACCAACTAACAAATCCTGACCTCTGCGAGGGGATTCCATCTCGCCCCATATATTTCTGAACCATTCCAATTTCTGGGTTCTCCCCTTTTAATAATGGTATGTACCATGTTTTAGTCAGAAAATATTGTTAAAATAAGACTGCGTTTAAACACGAGTTTTTAAAGTCATAAACATATTTTCAAGTTCAGCAAAAAGTAAATTCCAAAATAATTGACTGATATTTCAGTCATGAATAAAAATTCATTCATGAGAACAACGATGAAGTCTTGGAGCACGGAAAGGGACGTACGAAGTTGTGTGTGGTCAGCGGGACGTTCTCTAGCACTTCCACGTGCAGCTCCTCCCCAGTGAGCCAGGAGATGTCTGTGTCCCAGCCGATGGGCTTCTTCTCTCTGAAAGGCGCAGACACAGTGTGTGGTTAGCAACTCAGCGGTGTCAGGGGCCTTGCACTGGAGATCTGAAAGTTGGTTATTGAGGGGCTAGTACAGTGAGGGAGGCTTGGCTCCCTGGTCTTCCATCGTTAGAAATTTAAATGGCAAGAAATTAATTAATTTTTAAGTTTACCCCAAATAAATGTGTCACGCTTGGACAAACAGCAGGGTAAAGAGATGTACTCTTTTCTTCAAGTCAGCTCCAGAAAGGACCTACAACAGCAGAAAATGGATTGTTCCTGGGGTCCAAGATAGGAAAAAAATCACAGGCATGGACTTCTCTCTCCATTTAAAGGAGGATAGACTCAGGGGACAGTAAGCCCCAGGGCTCAAAAGTTTGGGGCCTGTCCCCAATGTTAGCTACCTTCTGAACGGAAAAAATTAATCGAAAATAAATGTTAATTTTTTTGAGACTTTTGTATTAAAAATCAGAGTGTAGGGAAGAATCCATAATCCAAATAAGCTGCATGGCTCAAAACTTGTAAAGAATATAAAATTCCAAATAAAGTCACTTGATCAGAGCAATAAACACAAATGTCACACAAAATGGTTTCATGTTATGGTTTCAGGCTCTGTGTGATTTACCCAGGTGACTTTATTCTTAATGTAAGACTGTTGTTTTATACCACTGAGTCAGAACTGACCGCTCTCTCATCCTCCCCTGAGCTGTCAGAGGCAGTGACTCATACAGGAGGATCTGCCTGTCTTCCCTGTGAACAGCAGATGGATTGGAACCGTGTGCCTCTGTATTGGCAGTACCAGCTCCTTACACTAAGCCACCAGCTCCACAAAGTAAGATCAGGTTTAGGAAAGGACCCTACAGGAAAGCCTGACGCTGATAAAGTCTGCATTGTTTCCTTGTGGAAGCATTCACTTTCACGTTACATGTAAACCATACCCATCCTGAATTCTGTAGACAGCACAGCATTCTGGGATCAGCCCTCTCATCATCAATGCTTTCTTCAAACTGTCTCGGACAGTGACACCACACCGGGCAGGGACCTAGAGGGTCATAAATGCATGCTATGAGGGTGAGGTCATCATAGTTTGTCCTTATTAAAATAAAAAGGAAACTTGACTATTTAACTCATCATGAAATACCTTTAAAAGTGGCATGTGTGTTAGATACAACATTTCTAGAGCTAACTTAATTAATATTAAAGGGAAATTAGAAACTAAGTATCTATCATGACTCACTAATTGTATCTCAACATCAAGAAAACAAAGATCCTCCCCACTGGAACAACAGGCGTGTCATGATAGAAGGAGAAAGGACTGAGATCTCATCGTGCTTGGACCTACAATTAACACTCCTGGCACCAGCAGTGAGGAAATCAAAAGATGGATCTCTCCAGAGCGCTAAAAAGCAATGATATTAGTCTAGAGAGTGTGTCTGATCCAGATCATGGTCTTCTCAACTGCTTGCTTCGCATGTGAGAGCTGGACAATGAATCAGGACGACAAAAGAATCGATGCCTTTGACTGTGGTGCTGGAGAAAAGTACTGAATATACCATGCATGAACTGCCAGGAGAACAACCCTTTAGAGAGTGAAACCAAGTTTCTCCTTGGTGGCAAGGATTTTGAGGTTCTGTCTCTCATACTTTGGGGCCTGTTGCCAGGAAGGAATAGTCCTTGGAGAAGGACATCACGCTTTAAGTGTAGAGGGATAGTGCAAGAGAGGAAGATTCTAGATGAGAGAGATTGACACAGTGACTGTGGCAATGGGCTCAGATGTGTCAGAGACAATGAGGACATGCTCAGATAGGACAAGGTTCAGTGCAGTGTTCACAGAGTTATTTTGATTCATGGAAGACTCAGCAGTACATAATAATTATAACAAAAGTAAAAATTTATTTTTTAGTATTTCACTGAAAAAATATTTTAATGATAGAAAAAAGAACAAAAGATACTATGACAGACTCCTATAAACCCATCACTAATGAGAGAGGGATCAGCACTGAACGCTGAACCAAGTGAAGGTTGACTGCACAGATAGGTTTCCCATTCAAGGACTCACTGCACTGGGCAAACGTTTGTTCATAAGAGAAAACTGGTCTCCATTCAGTCATCTCAGTCATTATATCATGGACTACCAGGAGAACAAACAGGTTCGTCCTAGAGAGGGCGAAGCCAGGCTGCTCCTTGGAGGCAAGGATTCTGAGGCTTTGTCTGACATACTTTGGCCATGTTGCAAGGATAGCCTGGTCCTTGGAGAGGAATATCATGCTTGGAAGGGTGGAGGGATGGACAAAGAGAAGGAGACCATCGATGAGATGGACTGATTCTGTGACGGGGTAATGAGGGTAAGTGTGTTGGAGACAGTAAAGATGGTGCAGGATAGAGCAGGTTTCAGGGATATTGTACACAGGGTTACTATGAGTCACAAGCGACTCGACAGTACATAACAACAACAACCAACATTCAGTAATTCAAATACAATTTGTTTCATCACACTGCTAGCTGTAGAGTATTTAAGGTGTATGTGCAGTTATTAACACAGTTCAATGTTTGAGTCTTTAAGTCACTGAAGTACTTAGCAAACCTGAGGGGGTGGAAGGCTGAAGCCAACCTGAGGGGGTGGAAAGCTGAAGCCAACCTGAATGTAACACAGCTAACTATAAAGAGGGCTTTAACGAGGGAACAATTCAGAAAGCCAAACCGGGATTCATGACTAGAAGTAACAGGAGGCAGACTTAGCTTCACGTAGACATTGGAACCATCTAGTAATGAACAAGTCTATCAAGAGAAACTGTCAGGAAGAGACTGGATTTTTACTTTCCAGAAAGAATGAACTGAAGGGATGGCACACTTCCCCCTTGGCCCTTCTTCTTCTGTCTGTAGAAAAGCTGAAGGAGAGGAAGGCGGGTGAGCAGGGCCAAATCATAGAAGCAGTGAAAGAAAATACAAGCAAACTTCTTTCTACCTTTTAAGTGATTAAAATCATTACTAATGATGTAAAATCTGGAAGCCATGAAAGAAAATGAATAAATTCAACTATATTAAAACAAAAAGTTTTTATATGATAAAACAAATATACTAGAAGACATCAATCTTTGCAAATATAATTTTAAAAAATCCCCAACCCTATTACAAAAACAAAAATAAATCCACTACTACAGACAAATTCAAAAGAGAAATAAAAATTTTTTTTGGGAAGGAATCAATGTAACAGCCATATAGTATTTCATAGAACGGAATCTTGACAATTTCAAGTTTCTGACAAATGTTCTAACCACCTAATAGAAATATCTATAAAGGACATGAAACACAGTTTAGAAATGCAAGCGGCCATCAAAGATATGAAAAGGTACCCAACTTCACTCAGAGAAATATAGACCTAAACTGGCCACAATCCTTTCACCCATCAGACTGGTGAAACTCTGATACTCTGGTGAGGAGGCTGTGGGCAAGCTGACACATCACATGCTGTGAAGTGCCAGTCGGTTAATGCCCACTCATGTCGACTCCCCGTGACTACAGCTGCCTCACAGGGTCTGCGAGGCTGTAAAACTTAAGAGTGTCTTGTACATTGCAGGGGAGACAGCCCATCTTCTCCCACAGAGCAGCTGATGGCAGAGCCACCGCAGAAGGTTCACGCTGGGGTTAGCAGCACAATCCCGTGAACTCAGTCACCACAGTTTCTACTAAAAATGCAAACATACATTTCCCTTTGATTTGGGGAAGCTCTCTTCTGGAAACTTCCCTTAGGAGATAACTGGGATACTTAAGAATGACACGGGATGTTATCACCACAGCACTGTCAGCAAGGGTCAGGAAAACATGGCTGACATGCCAAGAGACAGAGCGGGGGTCAAATCAACTACAACACGTCTAGACAATGAAACTGGAGCTATACCAAAGAAGATGCAAGTCATCCAGGGACGGAGACAGGAGCATTTCCAGGAGGCTCTACGTAAGTACTGAAAACAATAGCAGAACATACACAGTATATGGCAAAAGCAGTATGAAGAGGGGTAGGAAAACAAGGGAATAAGGCTGTATCTGCTTATATTTAAACAAATACTAAAAATATGGAAAGAGAAAGAAAAGAAATAAATGCTGCTACTTAAACAGCGTAAAGGAAACGGGATCTACAGGACACGGCTAGGAGCAAGATCCGTGTTCTCTACTATTCAATGCTGGCAGGATTCCTATCTATTCAAAAAGAAAAAAGGGGGTATCCAAGATGGCGGCGGAGGCAGAGACAGCGTGGTGAGCTGCGGGAGCAGCAAACCACTTAAAGCAGGGCCATTATGGCCTCCACAGACTTCGGCTTATTGATAATTGAACACTTAAACAGTTGATGACTGGCCCTCAGTGAAGATCGAGCCTCAACAACAGGAATGCAAGGATAAATGGGCCAAAGAAGACGATTACCTATGCATTGGACAGGCCAAAGAAGAAGATTATGTATTCATTAGACAGGCCAAAGAAGATGATTACCTATGCAATGGATTGCTGAAAGTCACTGTGAGTCTGATGACCTTAACAGTGGCAGTATGCACGAGAGGACCGACATCCTAAATGCACCACATATTTTGTTCTGTTGAATGCTTCTGCCAAAAGATGGTTAGACCTGGGGGGAGTCTGTTCACAATTCTCAGGTTCCCAGTGACACCTACTTCAAAATATAGTATGACCACTTATGGGGGGGTAAAAGTGGCAGTGCTGGAATTGGAAACACTATCCCTGACCACAGAGTCCTCAGTCAGGCGAGGGGACCAGACTGGGGTAGGGGCAATTGGAAGGGGAGTACACCAGCCAGCTCCTGAGGGGTGTTGCCCTGCTTGGGATGGGCTGCCCTCGGCCCCCGGCTCAGGGCGAGCCGTCGCGGCCCTCTGCCCGGGGTGGGCTGCCCTCAGCCCTCGGCTCGGGGTGAGCTGTGGCGGCCCTCAGGGTGAGCTCCTCAGCCCCCAGATTGTGCCATCTGACCCCTGGGTGGGGAAGGAGAAAAAAAAAAAGAATGCCTAGGGTATTCAATGTCACCTAGGCCACATTCTGCCACCCTCCCCCCAAGTAAACCTGAAAGCAACACCCTCAAAGCCCTTCTATTTGTAACTCACAAGTTTGTTCTCTCTAGGTTTGCTCCCTTTCCTATAGGCAACCTTAACTCTTGAGTTTTACTCCAGAATTGACCCTGAACCCAGTGCCAGTGACAAAAAGGAAATTCAACTGACAGCTAAGGAAGCAAAGGAGGATGGAGCCTCTGGTTTCAACCAGCCATCCCCATTGGACCCTCCTAGGAAAACACTCTGCAGTCCAGAGGGGAGCAAATGACAGGAAAATATATTCTAACAGAGCAAGAAGGCAAGCAGCTTTAACCGAAGACCACCAGTAAGGTGATAAAGCGTCCTCCCTTCCCCCCTTTACATCTACGCCCCTGTTCAGCATGAAGAAGCCAGAGAGTCGGCATCCAATTCCCAAATCAATAAGACAGTTGGTTTAATTACTATTGGAACGTGCTTGTCATTCCTCTGTAGCATCTGGTCCCCACTGGACCCTCATCATTTCCTTCACCTGCTCCCCCCACCGACCAAACTGTGCAGCTCTGCAACTGCATCCTGGCCCATCCTCACCCTTCTGCCCCCAACCCTCACCTCCTTGTACCCCCAATATGTTTTTCCCAATAAAAAAAGGGGGGGGGGAGGAGGAGGAGGCTTCTTTTTTTTCCTTTAAAAAAAAATTAAGACTGAAAAGATATATGCAAATTAACCAACATCCAAAGGTCCATGATGAGGCTTGTCGAAGCAGCAAGAAGTCTTTCTAAAGACTAAAAAGCACAGAATTCACTCTTGAACAAAGAGCTAAGGTCAAGGGCATTATCCGAGGACCTGCTAATGGCAAGTCCAGACCTCACACATCAGTTCTCATCACGCACCAGGATGGTTCATAATGTGTGTTGAAAATGTTCAGTAAAATGTTTTCTAATCCTGTCAGAAGTCCTTCTAAAATTCAAGTGGTCATCAAAATTCCCCGACGTTGAGCTATGTGAACTGGTAG